TACATGTGTTCTTTAAGGCTATGTTCTATATCTATGCCAAATTTTATCATTATTCGTTCAACCGGTGTGGAGATACCTTCAACCAAACATCCATTCAACTAAACATTCCCATTTATAATATTAGTAAGATGAATAAGATTTATCTCACGAAAGTTTAAATAATTTGATTTTATACTTCATAACAAAGGGTAATCTTTGCAGTAAATTAATGAATTGTAATTTTAAATTAGTCACGTTACATCTTGAATTATTATTAAAATATTAATATAATTAACAAAGACGTGTCTAACAAAAGACTGCGTAGAACATTCGTCCCAGGTGTTTGTGCAAGCTATTGTAGGCAGGCATTACAGTAATTACTCACATCATGTCTGTTATTATAGAATCTAATATGTTTCATATTATGACGTCGAGTTAGTGATGTGAATCTAGATAAAGCATATAACAAAATGGCACAGGAAAATATCTTTTAAAACCTGCCTTGAATTGCAATCAACTAGACTAGGTATTGTGTAATACCTCACAACTTATCTATCTTACTGATATTATAAATGCGAAAGTTATGATGGATTGATGTTTTAATGTGTCTCCGGAACTGCTCAACGGATTTTGATGAAATTTGGCACACATGTAGAACATAGTCTAGAAGATACATATGCTTACTTTTTAAGTTTTTTTTTCTTATTCTGCTTAAACGGAGTCGTATGCCACAGCTAGTTGTTTTAAAGGTGTAATGCGTATTTATTTTATACTTAGGAAAATATATAGGTATTATTCATTGCTTTTATTAGTAATCAATCACCTCGATATTATTTCTTTGCCTGTTTATATGCAAAATAATAGTTTATATTCAACTGGAAATACCGTTTACTATTAATCGATTGCGCTTCGGTTATATCAAGCTTAAATTCTTCTAAATGGTTTACCGTGGGCTTCTGAGACTATAATACTCGTTTGAAACATATTATTATCTCTGTTTTGTCAAAGATAATGACAGGGATGACGATATGTTTTACGCCGAGATTTTGATCTCAGAAATCAACGGAGAGTAGCGTCGTAAAAGAAGCCGCTCTCAAAAATGTTATGCGGACGCTAAGGAAGCCTTCAGTTTTCATTTATTGAGAAAAATCACTACGCAGCAATCGCAATGGAACTGTTACTTGTATGAAAGGTTACCGAGAAAGGAATTTCCATTGTAAACAAATTATCCGCCAATCATATTATTAGTATTTATTCCATACAAACAGTAATCAAAGTAGGAAAACTTGACATTTCGTAACAAATCAATGGGACACGTGTAGTATGTTACTCTGATATTTATCGATTAAATTTAGATAGAGTACCTCTAAAATTGTTTTATGACAGAATACAACTTCAGCATTTTATTGCACGTCGAATTGCAATTTTTTAATCGTAAATTAACATTTACACTTATCCTTTACAACAAAATTATTTAAACTATCATGTTTTAAAGTATAATTAGTGGATTACTGTGATCAATTGTTGCAAAGAGGATCATTATAATGTCAGTATAATACGAGAGCATAGTTTATTGTTCGTTTTGATTCATTAGCAATGCGCCAACGCGCCACGGGTCACTGCGCGTGCATTAATTCAAAAATTCAATAATTCAACTGGAACGCGAACGGAAATTAATTAACATTATCCCGTATTGTGATATTATCTTTTTGCATATACTATTGATAATTTTATTGTAACGTCAATATGGTTAAGCAAAAAGAATGTTTATCTTAAGCCTACCTTACACTAGCTTAGCTTATTAAAAGTGGTAGAGCCCGCAATAACATATTTTGCAAATCGGTGACATTCTCAGACAGGCGTGAATTGGAAGTAATTCCCCGTTTCATCTGTTGAGCTTGCGTGTCGGAATTATCCTCTTTCTGTGCGTCCCCCGCACCTCCGCACCTCTCTTGATTAAAGGTAGGCAACGCACGTGCAAATGTGGATGTCTGCGGGCAGCGGTCACTTCGATGGTGAATTCCGGTGGCAGCTTTCTCGTTTGTGAATTTCTACTAGAAAAAAGCTACTCAACTATTGGCTATGATTGATATTTCCGTGAGGAAAGCATTCCATTTAATGCTGTGATTAGTCGTTTAGTGGAAAAGGGTTTTTAGTTTGTTTAAAAAATATCGTAACGTTTATAGACACGTGTATAAACTCACCTGTTAGTCACACTCACAACGTGAGTGTAATTTGCGGTTAGGTTTTTTATTGCCGCGGATTTGTCATACTAATTTATAAACCTTGTACAGGTGAGGCTGCGATTTACGATAGATTATATAATGTGATTGAATGTCGAAGAGTTCTATTTTAAATATGTTAATCGATCACCTGTAATGTGGAATTTCACTTCATCAACTTATACGTCCAACCTACCCTAAGTTAGAGGTGACTAAGCCACAGTCAACCACATTGGCCTGGTGCGGGTTGATTGACTTCACATATCTTTAAATAAAAAAACACATATTATGGTTTAAAAAAACGGTGATAATAATGTTTTATATAGTTGTTTTGACAGTGGAAACTGACACTAAGCATTTTGTAATGCAATTTGTCCAATACAATTTACATATTCTAATCATGTATCACGTACTGAGATTCTGACACGTGCAGCATGCGGAAAATATTATTTGAAATATTGCTTCGATTGCATTAAATATATCATTACAACAATTATTATCGGACAGTTCATACGCTTCCGGTATCACGTGGAAATGAACTTGGAAAACTACAGTAAAACATAATAATATATACATATTAACAAAATTGGAGTGTCTGTATGTAATATCAAGAAAAAAATCATATTTCCTACACGAGATAAAGAAAACCAATTTTAAAATGTTTCGCCTGTCTGTATATCTGCCCCCAAGCCCGTGTTTTTTCGGGAAATCTCCGGAACTGCTGAACTAATTTTGACAGTCCTCTGATATGAAGATAGCTGATGCAGTCGGGCATATTGTAGGTTACTTTTTTTTGAAACGAAGTCTCAGGCGACCGCTTGTATTCAAATATTATTTAATTGTTATTAAGAGTCTCAGCTTTTTGTTAGAACATGTCAATGGTCATCATCACACTATAGTATGTGTGCTATCAAAACTTAAACAACACTATAGTAAACATAAACATTTCCTGTACTCATATACCGTCATAAGGAAACAGGGTCTAGGGCATTACGGTCACGATTCAGCTCTTTATGTCAGTTATATGAACCATTTCTTTTAATGACATACCAGGGACGTTACTATGTGCTCAAAAAACTGCTAACACGAGCTGAAAGTAAGTAATGATAGTAATCAAACATTTAATGTCGCGATAATAGCCTATTCGGATACCTAAATGTATGCAGTAACTATAACCATGAGTTTTTAAAACCTTTCTATTCTATCTGATATTTTCTCTAACTTTAATATTAAATAAATCTAATACAATACATAATAGATTTTTTTATAAGGTTTACATAAGGTGGCAAACGATTTAGCGGCCATCTGACTTCATCGAAACAGCCCGCAATTGCAGATGCGTTATTTTAATCGACAAAAGAATAGACGCGCTGAAAGAGAATTTTCTACTTCCTATGCATCCTCCGTCAAATTCACTTCCTTTTCCCGTCCTATCTTTATGAGATGTATGAAGGAAAGAAGGACTAAAATTAAGTTTACTAAATGATTCTATGAAGTACGGTCTTAAGCAAAGTTTTCATAGTTCTATTATTAGTAGTTTAATAGGACAAGCTGCGATAAGAGTAAATGGAAGATTGAAACGTAGCCATTAGGCGCAAATGATTGCGCATTTACGCATTATGTATCGCAATGGCCCAGTGCATCGAATTAGGGTTAATTAAACCAATGAGGATTTATGTTTCTATGAAGTAGATTTCACATATGTGGAATTTTTTTTCCTTTGTTTTCGACTGAAAGTGGCCAGTGCAGATCCTTAACTCATCCAAATATTTTATTTTCAATTCGATTAAAGAGACTAGATCTAGAAATTATTTTAACTAAACCTTTGGTACAATGTAAAAAAAAACAATTTAAAATAAACCGTTAGAATTAATTGCTTCCATAAATGTTGCAATGTTTATTAAATGCCAAAGTTTATTTATGAAAAATAAATAAAACTTTATTACAGGTTTATTTACATTTAAAATGTTAGTTATAAAATATAATCAAGGCAAGTTATAACATGTGAAACGTAATAAAAATGCTTTATTCACAATCAGACGTTGGGAAATTCAATTCACAGCCAGATTTAATTTGTAGCCAATAAAAACATTACAACGCCGGAAAGCAATAATTGTTCCTACGAAAATATTATTTTACCAACCAATTTTACTGGAGCAATAAGAATTTTTCTTCGAATTCATTCCAGATTTATTACCTAGAAATTATTTATATGCCTGTTTATTTTTTTATTAGCTGTCGCTCGCGATTTCACGTGAAATTAAAAAAAAAAACTGAATGCTAATTTAAAAACATATCCATTCAATCATTCTGTAATTATACGTGGTAGTAAACTTTCGCAAAGTTTAGATGGATTTATAATATTAGTAAGAATTAGGTAGTTTAATTTAGGACGACTTCCTAATTCTAGTAATAGAAATTATATTCTGAATATATCATAGTTTTATTCTATTAAATAAAGTATGTTCATAGAACTGGAAACAACTATACTTACTAGAAATTTGTGTTAAAAGTAATAAATTTAAAACTCTATAAGTTTCTGCCGATGTTTATAAATGCGAACCGCTTTGCAATCTACAAACTTTATCAACGTTCACGGAACAAAACTCTGTGAAGTATTAAGCGCAGAAATAAAACTCGCTCAAAACTAAACTCTCGAAATTATTGGAGTACAACTATATCAAAATAACCTATAATACATGACAAAGATTAATAACTACTACTAATAATTTCTTTGTTTTAGGTTTGGGTAAATCACGCGTTTTTTTATATCTAAAACTGTAATTCTATTGATTTCAGATTCTACTGGGATCTATGTATGCTACTGCTTCTGGTGGCGAACCTCATCATCCTGCCTGTTGCCATCTCCTTCTTCAACGACGACCTCAGCACGCGTTGGATAGCCTTCAACTGTCTATCTGACACCATATTCCTCATAGATATTGTTGTTAATTTTAGAACAGGTACGTTTTTTTCATAACTAACAGTCGCACGCGACTCTAGCCACGTGCCATTAAAAAAAATTAACAAGTATCCTATGTGTTTCTTCAGACTATATCTGTTACTATGTCAAATTTGCCAAATTTCATCAACATCTATTGAGCCGTTCCGGAGATATCTACTAACAAACAGCCAACCCATCCATGGTTTTAAACTTTCGAACTTATGATATTAGTAAGATAGTTTTTTGTACTACACAAAGACTAGACAATTATCAAATTTAAATTCGCTCCAAAAGTTATAATTGTATGAATTTAAATGTTTCTATTTTCAGGAATAATGCAGCAAGATAATGCGGAGCAAGTGATATTAGACCCCAAGTTAATAGCAAAGCATTATTTAAGGACGTGGTTCTTCCTAGACCTCATCTCTAGTATACCACTAGATTATATTTTCTTGATCTTCAATCAGGTAAATGTACGTTGCAATTTGGCCGTGTTTCTTTTACTATAGATTTAACTGTCTTTTATGTTTTGATGTTCTGTTTCAGCTTGGGTCTTCATTTGTTTTATAGCAAACATTGTATTTTGTTTTTGGGTTTATTTGTATTTTTGTTTTGTTTCTCATTGTGATTTCTATTGAACTGCCACGAGAACGTACAACGCGCCATCGTGTCGCGTTATTTAAGGGTCTATCAAAGTAAAGGTTTGATTGGCACTATAGTTTCCTTTTTAAAAGAATCCAAACGCATATCTTTTACTTCTACTTTTGGTAATTTACACCTTCTTTCTTCTATCTGCACGATAAACTTAAGTAACCCATATGAATCAAACATTAATTCCTTCGCCCTAAAAAACTTACGGTCGGATACATAAAATGATTGTATGGGCTGCTAACCCCTTTCGTATTTTGGTCTCTATATGCACATTTATTCTTTGTGCACTGGCCACTTTCAAACGTAAAATGTTATATTTGCACCGATATTTTTTCTTCTTCTTATAAACCCCTCTCTACTTCTTTTTTATCTTAAGCACGTCCTCTGTTAATAAATTCATAATTCTTATTATCTGAATTGAATCTTTACCTTCTCATATACCAAAGCATGTTTTAAAAAGCTTCTATATTTATATTTTTCTTGGCTTCGGATATATCTGTATTTATTTTTTGGTTTTATAAAGCAGTTATTCAATCGCTGGTGTACGTTAACAATTATTTTCATGGTTATGAAACACGACCAAATTGTAATATTTTATTATGTATAATCTAGTAACTATATACTTATAGACAAATACGCTTTTAAGTACAAAAATATTTACAAGATTTAAATTCCTATAAATTGGTTTTTGTTCAAAGCTTTATTATTATAAATTTAAACAGCTTTTACTAACTTAAGATATGTATAGTTCAACGAACTGGAGATTGTAAATTGATTGATTATAATTTAATGCATAAGCATCTGACTAAATGCTTGAGCACTTTTCTTTGGCTGAGACTATTACTGGCAGCAACATTGCATGTCTACTTCACGTACCAATCTGTAAAGGTATTATCGTCGTCGTGATCCGGTGCTCTGAAGAAATGCAGACTTCTTTGGAGCATCAAGAGGTAAGTACGCCGCGGACTTAACTAGATTTTGATATGTTGACAGGACTTTAGTGAAAGCTTTCAAATTCTCCACGCGGGGCGCGCGCTCCGGATACTGCGGCTGGCCAAGCTGCTCTCTCTGGTGCGGCTGCTGCGCCTCTCGAGGCTCGTCAGATATGTGTCACAGTGGGAGGAAGTATATGTAAGCCATCATCTCTTCTAACCCCCACCTCTGTGCCATTAACTACTATACCACTAACACTGCTCTAACTACATGACCGCTCACATCTACTAACACGACATAATTTAACACCCTACTAATCCTTATAATATTGGATTAAATTTTTACTAAATACTAAAAAGATTCGATTGGCTGTAACAATGTTTAATTTTTTATTTGTGAAGAAAAAATTTGATAAATTTTATTCAATCAGCGATTGGAACCGTTATAGATAGTAGTGATCCTAATAATGTGTTATTGGAATATGTTGTAATCCTGTATTATACCACTGTTCCCGCCCCCACTGTATGTGAGACCGAGTCCCGCTCTGCACTTCTCTACTGCTTCTCTGCAAGCTTCTTTCTGCCTGAGCACGTTTTCACTCTCGTGAATCTATCTCTTTGCGTGCGTCCGCGCCGCGCCGCGACCGCGTTAGCTCGCCGTCTGCCGACCTCCGACAACCGGCCGCGACCGTCGACCGCCGTCCACCGGGCGCTTCCCTCCGACCCGAACAGTTCCACACTTGCCCTAATTGATATAATTTGCTCGTTACCAATATTAATTTGCTGCTTTTTCAAAGCCTTTAGTACAGATGCGCTAACGCCGATTACGTTTGCCGCGTAAATATTGCAAATATTTTATTTTCTTAATCTTAAGTTGAAAAATAAGTAAACCGCACGAAATCGCGTCCCGAGGTTAATATTCGCGAGTTGTAGGTCCCCCTCTATGTAAGAAAGGACTATCTTTAGCGAGTCAAAAAAAATAACCCAAAAAACGCGTTGGAGAAGTCTTTATTCTTTAGCCGAATTGTAAAAGATTAAGTGATGAAGCTGAGAGTGATAGAGAAGTAGACGGGGTATTACGGGGAGTCAGGTGGTAGCGACATCGCAGTGAGGGTGCAGACGGTCGTGTGCAGATGAGCCCCGGGCCGCAGCCGCGCGACCAGCCGGGCGACGCGGACGGCGCGGGCTCGCGCGACTTCGCCACGCAGGTGCCGCATGCCGCGCTCGCTACGTAGGGGCCTAGCGCGCCCGCTCGGCTCGGTGTTAGTGCATCCCGCGTGCTCGGTGCTAGTGCACGCCCTGCCCCGCCCCGCCCCGCACCCGCGACTCCCGCGACACACACGTCGGACCCCGCCCGCGCCCCTGTCGCGCGACAGTCTCTTCCTACTATCTCGTGTTTCTCGCTTCTTTTCTAGATCTTGCAGAATCTCCAAAAAAAGCGCACCGAACGACGAGGACGGCTCAGCTCCGACGTCGCCAAAAAGAAGGGTGATACGAAAAGCAATCTGATCTTCAAGGTAACCAGGGTCGGCGCGAGCCGGCGCGCATGCTCGTTCGCCCGCTTAGCATGTGCCGGCGCCGCCCGGCGTCCTTTACACCGCTGCGCTCGCTTCGCTTTCTATCTTTCGTTGGCGTTTCTTTCCGACCCTAGTCCGGCCGGCGGGCGCGCGGGCGAGAGGGTTGCGGCCGCGAGCCTCTCCTAGCCTCGCCCTCATCGCATGCTCGCTCGATGACGTTCACGCGTTCATAACCTTGTCGTTCACTGTACGAAGCCATCGGTAGAGATCATCGCGATGCTTGACCACGAGCGTCCTTGTCGCGCGCAGTCCGCACGGCTTCCCTTAGAGGCCACACCGATTGCCCAACATCGTATTAAAATGTTATCGCTCTGTTCGCAGTTCCTCAACATGGCATCTGTGTTTATGCGGATATTCAATTTAATCTGCATGATGCTGCTAATCGGCCATTGGTCAGGGTGTCTGCAGTTCCTGGTTCCGATGCTACAAGGCTTCCCACCGAACTCGTGGGTCGCTATCAACGAACTCCAGGTACCATTGAGAATGGCGATTTCAAAACAAACTTAAGTGACATAAGTACAGTTCTGGGCTTAAATATTATAAAAGAGTAACATTGGATAAAACCTACATGAAGTCTTAGAATAACTGGTGATCTTTTGCCTTGTTAAACTTCTTATAAATTATTTTTTAAATGTTTAAAACTACTAATCTTTGATGATTACAGGAAGCCTTTTGGCTAGAACAATATTCGTGGGCGCTGTTCAAAGCGATGTCACACATGTTGTGCATCGGATACGGCCGGTTCCCGCCGCAGTCACTCACCGATATGTGGCTTACGATGCTCTCCATGATCTCCGGCGCCACCTGCTATGCCCTCTTCCTCGGTCACGCCACCAACCTCATCCAGAGTCTTGACTCATCTAGAAGGCAATACCGAGAAAAGGTAAACTGATTTCGCTAAACGATTAGGCTCTCAATGTCTAGCGTCCGACTTCTACGAAGATAGTTTGTCAGACCGTAAGCTGTTATGAACATCTTATCATTCTAAACAGAAGCATCTCCAGTAACGTGTGATGCATTACGATTCCCTTCATCGCGTGAATTAAATAATCTAATACCTTTTCGCATGTTGTATGGTTCACTTTAAGTCGTCTATAACAACTAATTACTAGTCATTGCCTGTTTCAGAGACTAGACGTGAGTACAGATTGGATGATTGTTAAATGGTTACCGTTGTAAGAGATCACAGAATCATTATTCATCACTTGGTTAAACTCTCTACGCACATTAACTTTTCGGAGGCGATTAATATTCATCTTCATGTAACAATTTCACAGAAATAACGGGTGTTCATAACAGTTTGCTTCTGATTACTGCTTTTTGTCATCTTCTATTGTGTATATTCTTTATAAACTATGTTAGAAATATATAATATAATTATACCGTGTAAAATAAGATAGCTAGACTCACCGTTATATGTTATACAGCACTGTTTGATTTTGTTGTGAAGCAAAGTGTGTGCGTAAGTTCGTGTGTAGCTCTATTCTAACGAACACAGTATTTAGCCTAGCTCTTACAAATGTAAATACGCTTTCAAATTGATTATGTAAAATATAATATTTTAGGTAAAACAAGTAGAAGAATATATGGCCTATAGAAAACTGCCTCGGGAAATGCGACAACGTATCACCGAGTACTTCGAACATCGCTACCAAGGCAAATTTTTCGACGAGGAGCTTATTTTGGGAGAGCTGAGCGAGAAATTACGAGAGGATGTCATCAATTACAACTGCCGTTCGCTTGTAGCCTCCGTGCCATTCTTTGCCAACGCTGATTCCAACTTCGTATCGGATGTCGTCACCAAACTACGTTACGAAGTCTTCCAACCTGGTACGAAACTTATGTATACTATAATTAATTTAACTACTAGTCGCCCGTTGGTCGAAATTAGACCATAATTTATAATAAATGACGATTATAAGTAGGTTAATGCACTTCTTCTCCACGTTAACTTAAGCTATGTTAAATTTCACGTCCACGTTTGGAGAATTTCCTTAAAAAGAGTATAAAATTTTCTCTTCACTTACTAATTTAATTATTTTTTGTAATAACAGCAGTTTAAAACTCTTTCAGGCGATATTATCATAAAAGAAGGAACCATAGGGAACAAAATGTACTTCATCCAGGAGGGCATCGTAGACATCGTAATGGCAAACGGAGAGGTTGCAACCAGCCTGTCCGATGGCTCCTACTTCGGCGAGATCTGTCTCCTGACGAACGCTCGCCGAGTCGCCTCCGTCCGCGCCGAAACCTACTGCAACCTCTTCTCACTGTCCGTGGACCACTTCAATGCGGTGCTCGACCAGTACCCTCTGATGCGGCGAACAATGGAGAGCGTCGCCGCCGAGCGACTCAACAAGATCGGCAAGAACCCAAACCTCGTGGCACACCGCGAAGACGACACCACATCGGAGGGGAACACGATCAATGCGGTGGTGAACGCGCTGGCCGCGGAGGCGGAGCACGTGAGCTTGTCGGACGACAGCGTGGCGCGGCTGTCGGAGCGATCGCTGGGACTGGCGTTGCAGCCGCTGCAGGCGGCGTCGTGCCGCATGGCGGGCGTGGCGCTGCCAGGACTGGGTGTGGCGGCCGCGTTGCCGCGCCCCAAGTCCGAGCACGACTTCAGCGCGGCGCAGGGCCCGCCGGCGCCGTTGGCCGCCGCGGCCGCCTTCCACAAGTCGGACGCTGGCATCGCACCCTGACGCCGCACGCTGTGCTAGTGCGCGTGCGTGAGCGCCACTCGATAGCAATACTAGGCTTAGTGCGAGCTCGCCGCCTCGCTAGTTGTAGCGTAGATATAGCTGCGACTTCGCCGGGCCCGCCCGCTGAATCTCATTTTGTGATCTTATACTTAATTCTCCTGTGTTATAATTTAGGTTAAATTTTATATCATCGACGCTGTGAGGGATCGAATACGTGACGTATTGCGATCGTATAGAATATACCTGTTATATATTGAAGGATAACTATTGAATCTTTATAGAGATACCTTGCCATTAAAAGAGGAAATAATTAATTATATAGACTAGACTGAGATGTAAAATATCACTATTTTATGCTTTGTTGGCGTATGAGATTGTCGCTGTTGTTGACGGATACGAAGTCGATCGCGTGATACCGATCGAAGATGTACCTTTGAAGGTTCCTGGCATAGGCCTCGAAAATGTTATATATTTGAAATTGTTAACCGCATACTCGTGCGCCGAGAGAGGCGGGAGTAGGCAGATAGGCGGAGCTCCGTACGAGCGACGCACGACACGACTCGTTCGAGTCTCACAAATCAAGAGCACATTTGCTTTCTTAATTTTAATATTAAGTAGTCCTACCGACCGACAAAGATTATGCGATTTCTCACGATTTCCTATTTAGAAGTGGATCAGTAGCGCTTCGGGTCGTTTTCTTTATGTAAATATTGTAATTTTGAGAATTCGCCAGTAGGGTTTGTTTTATAGAAGTGAGGGGCGACGTTCGTCGGAGCGGTCCAGTCAATTAACACGTAACCCGCGGCGCGCGGCGGACGTCAAGCCCTCGTGCACCACTACACTTCGTACCTTGTTTTTATTGTAGTCGAAGTAATAATTTATTATTAATAGAGATCATTTTGTAGAAATAAGTAGGCCGAACCGTTAACAAATTCGGACGAATTAAGTTATGTGATAGGCAGTAAGGCCGCGAGCAAGCCGCCACCTCTCGCCCGTCGCCGACTCGGGCCGTCCGCCACTTAGAAATAGGCACGAGTAGCCCCACTGCTCCAATGTGCATGCCACTCGAGCTCATTTTGCCACTTTGCTTCATTCCAGACTTTAACTCTTAATTTATTTTCAGTATCTCTAGTGAATATTTATTCCAATAAGACACGATTTAGATGACGCAATCGCTTGTCTTATGGCCGACATAGCGATAGGAGAACCTAGGAGCGCCGACGCCAAGACATATCGTAGAGGGCGACAGCGTCGAGCCGGCGGCGGATTTGCTTCGGCGACATTCATCGTTGACTAATTCTTATAGTGTCATGACAATTTGTAAAGAAGTTTTGCAAATGTTGAATTTTTAGCCAAAATATAGTTAATTGAGACGACGAACCAATATGCAGTAGCTTAATAGTAGTTAAATGCAGCCTAGTTATCAGTTTGTCGATTAACACCAATAGATACTTTATACTTTTAAGATATTTATACAATCGATCAGAGTGACTATTATGTCAATTTATCTACAAAAAAGATACATATAAATTGCAATTAATCCCCAGAAGCATTTATTTACCGTTGTTTTATCTAACATTGCCGCTTTTATAAATAATATAAATTTTATAGAAGAGATCTATTTTTATTGTGAAGTTGAACCGCTGGAAAGTAAACTTATATAGAAACGTGTGTTTTTTTATTCACAAATTTTAAAAACATTGATATTATTCTGATTTCTGTTATGTCTATTTTCACCAAAAGTGCTCATCGCTGTCAAGAAATTAGAGAAAATGCATTAAAGAATGATGAAAATCGTTTGGTTGTTTATATTATATCCCCGTTTATAGAATTATTTATAATCCCGTTTATAGAACGTTAGACATCAATTCAATAAAACATATTTATTTTGATGTGGTTATTTTTCATTTGGCACCCTAGATGTAATGTTAATTAAGTGTCTTCATTAAGGTTACTTACTTTTGTAAGTAAGTTAACTATGATATTTAGATCCATAAAAGCTAATTGAAATTGGAGCGATGCCCTACTAACCTACTATAAAAGACTGCGATTTGAATACCAAGCATTTAATTATAACACGTTTCAAATGTTTAAAAAGAAATCATGGGTTCGATTCCCAATCAAAAATATGTTCATTTTTATAAATATACTACTGTTTTATGATGAAAAGGTGAACCTCTCATTCCATTCCAGCCACCGTAGCTTTTAATTAGACTTACTTTTATTACGTAATTCTTTGCCCTTTGAGCTGTAAAAATGACGTAGGCAAGAATTCTAGATCTCAAAAATGGCTACAAAAGTCAGCTTTTATTCTCGATTGTCTACACCAGACATTTACTCTTTGACTAATCTTTAAATGACCTAAAGGTCTATGTTACCAGATCATAAAATTACAAAAAAAAACTTAATCTTTAATCTCGACGTCAGCCGTCTAGCTGTCACTGACTCCTCGAACTGTCATTCCGATTCCGTCATTATTTCAAGTATTTTTGAAGGAGGGCATTGTACGGGTCTGTTATTTGTGTAGTGAATATAAACAGTGGAAATATGAATTAATTTTCGCATAAAATCGCTTTCAATCCCTTATACAAATGGATAATGAATTTGTACTAGTACTTATTTAACTTTTATGAAGATCTATTGTTAAAGTTACAAAATGTCTACTAGACGTGCTAGAATAAAAGCTGTAACATCCTTGCCACCAAGAAGAAAAAATGCTGAAACTGCAGATGTTAAAAATAAACCTGCTCAAGTTAAAGAAAACGTAGAAAAAAGCCTTAAAAGCCCACGAACACCACGTCCATTAGCAGAAAAGAATGAAGTGGATGATACCGCCGTACTTCCTAACACTTCAGTTGAAGTTACCAACGCAACAGAGTATCGAAGTGTAATTATAACTCCGAATAAAAATGCAATTGCACCAAACACAGTCGCCTCTCCAATTAACCCAACCGAGAAAATTAAGGCGTCACCAAAAAGTACAGAAAAAGTTTCTAGTAACGCCACTTCTGTTATTAAATCAAACAAAATTATATTTGCGTCGCCACAAACACGTCGGGATAGTCCGTTTAGGAAAGCTATTGCATCTCTCTTGACTTCGCCAAAAAATACCACTAAAAGTGCTGATGTTAACCAAACGAAAAGCCCGTCACCACAAATAAATAAACATACACCCAAACAACAAATAATAAATGACAACAATGAACTGCATATAACAAACAAAAATATACATAAAGTTACACATAACATAGTCAGCCCTGTTGGAAGCAATACAACTGAAGGTAAATATGTAATTACATCCATATTACACTAAAACTGAAGTAGACATTCTTACAGTATCAATCATAAAGAAGTATTTAAAAAGAAATTACAAATCATTTAATAACAAGTTGACTTTAGTCTGCACAAAATAAAAAAAACACAATTTGTAACCTATGTGTTCTTCCAGACTATGTTCTATATGTATACCAAATTTCATCTAGATCCATTCAGAACCAGGAGATATCTTCAAACATCCATCCATCCATCCATACACCTATATTCAATGGATACACAAACTTTAAATTATAAGTCTGTTTCATAAGGTCCAAATAAAGTCCTGAATAAGCTTCTTGGAACTTATTTGTCAAATAATGTCATGTCCAAATAAGCTGTGAAAATTAAATAGAAAATTTAATAAGTCAGTTAATTAATTTATTAGTTATCCAGCACTTTACATGGACATTGTGGAACAAACTCTAAACATAATATAGTTTTCTATTCTAATTTACATCCTGAAAATCTGATTTTTTTTAAAAATCAACTAATACAAAGTAGCCAAACTCCAAAGTTACACTCATGTTACTATGTTTGGTGCCACTGAGTTTACTTTAACATGTAAAGTTTGCACTTGTCCTGAATATGTTAGTTTTCCTTAGCACTCTGATACATTAGTTACTGACCAAAAAGTGATACATAGAAAACACTAATTTTAATGATAAAAAACACATTAGAATCAATTTTTTTCACATAATTTTCAGATTTTAATGTACCCAGCGTTCCTGAAAGTGTCAACGATGAGACTGTTATGGATGGCATTGTACCATTGCAGCAAGCTGGCAATGTACCCAAGCCTATTGATATTCTAAAAAGTGAAATTATATCAGAAAATGTTGAAGTTCTTTTTGATCCAATTGTACCATTACCTTCTCCAAGTAAAGTAAGGCCTAAACTGCGTCCAGCTCCAAGACTTGGACCTCATAGAAGAAATAGTATACAGGTATACTGTTAGGTACTTGTTAATTCCAATTTAAAGAATAATCTTATTAATTGCATATTACTATAAACCAGAGGTAGTCAAGTCATAAAACAGCAATAACTATATATGTATAATTATATAAATATGTAATAAATATATAGTATGTATATACCTATATATATATTTGTGTGAGTGTTGGGTGTGAGCATCTTCCAGTATGTTAATTTTTATGTAACTAAATTTTTAACCTTCTTATGATATACTGGACTGTTTGACCAGTTGTACACCCCTGCTACAGACTCACAAATTTGTTTCACTCCCTGGGCATAATACGAACTAAATTATGTGGCCTCCATCACACTCCTGGTAATGTCTGTGGCATATGTTTTTTGACAGAAATAACAGCAACAACAGTACCTCTCACTAGACAAGATAAGTTTGTTGCACTATACATAGTGTGTTTATGTTGTATATTCAATCTATATTTTTAAAGGGCAGCGCCAGTGAGTCTGAAGATGAGACTCGACGTGCGCAACTGTCTAGTGGTGCAGCTACTCCATCTTTGGGCAGACAACGTCATGATTCACACACATCCAGCACATTGATAAATAGGTTTGTATAATTGTAAGTTGTATATATTATATTTGTCTTTCTATCTTTCTTGCGGACTTCGAGGTGCCTCTTTTGAGGTTAGACAGCACCTCAATTGAATTGTGTTCATAAAAGATGAATACTTTGACCCAATCATTATTATTTCCTCATATTTACCTCCAATACCTACTTGTAAGAAATTTCTGTCTTTATATCAAGTTACCTTTAATACTGTATTGTTTCAGAGAGGTAAATCGTGTGAGGAATGATTCTGTTTGTTCAAGTGCAAGTCAGTTAACCGCTCCCAGCGTTGTCGCTTCACCGCTTAAGGAGAAACAGAGCAAGTGAGTATATAATTGCCTTAAACTACTCAAAAGAAATGATGTAGTCCGGTATTTAGCTTTGATCAAGTAAAATATATAGTTAAACCCTGGTCGGAGGCTACTAAGTGGTAGGTTCACACTAAGCTAAGGTTGTTGTTTCCTGAATTTGTTTATTTTTCGTTCTCAAATTACTATTAACATGATATGATCACAGGCAAACTTTTTGCTAGGTCGGTCAGAACGGATGCAATGGTGGTCAATCAAATTTTGGCTCATATTAGGCCGACCTTGGGCTTATAAGGTCTTGGTTTTGATGTCTAATGCCTGACTTTAATATTTTCAGATTACGTCGTCAAGAGGCGGCCAATCGGCGGGCCGCAGCGATGCGACGCAAACGAGAGAAGGCAGCAGCTAAGCGGGAGTCGCTTACAATGTACGATCTTATATTCTACAACCCCACCACTAATCCTATTGTGTGAGTATTTTTCTGTATTTGTTTGAATTTTAGTTAAATTATATTTAGTATAATATTCACCCTTAACTTAGGGTAGGCTCCGAGCCCCTCGGTGGGGACGTATAGTGAGCTGATGATGATGATATTTAGTATTGCCTCAAATCTTTCTATTTTATTTTTTAGTCCAGACCAAGATGAATTAAAAGCGAAAGAGGAGAATGCAAAAGACGCAAAAGAGTCTGCAGCTAAAGCAGAGGAGTCAAAGAGTAAAGAACAGAATAATACAACCGAAGAGACTGCGCCTGCTCCCGCGCCGCAGATCAAACTCGGACCTAATGGAGAAATAGTTCTTGATGAACAGAGTTTGGTAAGATGCAATAAAAATCACTGTTATGTTGTATATCTGTTTCGCTTAAATTGTGACCTTTTGTTACCTAAATTAATTAACAGATTTTTGCGACTCCAGATCATGGAGTAACGATGCTGATATCAATATATTCTATTTGTAGTATAAATGCGTTATTTTGTAAACTAATATATAAATGACTAAATACTTATTTGTTCGGGTAAACCGCCTAGTTTCGAGCTTAACCTGTGCGTTTCATCAGGTTGAGTGGTTGTGTTGTAGGTGATAAAGCCGAGTGACTCTGGGCGCAGTATATCATGCGTGGTGCGGGAGGGTGCGTGGGGCGGGGGCGGGGGCGCGTACCGGAGAGCCACGCGCACCGCCGACTGGAGCGCGCAGGAGACCGTGCGCTTCTACCGCGCTATTGCCGCCATCGGCACTGACTTCACACTCATGGCGCATCTCTTCCCTGACCGTAGCCGTAAGGATCTTAAGCTCAAGGTAACACTATTTACTTAGTTACAAACCACAGTTAAACATTTCAAATATCAAATTCGCGACGATAAAAAAAATATTTAATTAGTAACTTATATATTTCAGCTTAATCAGATCAGCCATTCTGAAGATACGTAATAACAAACATCCATCCATCTAAACATGCACTTATAATATTAGTAGTTAGTAATATTGTTATATTAGTTATCCAGCCTTTTCTGATGTGCAGTTTAAGAAAGAGGAGCGCCAGAACGGCGTGCTGGTGGACAAGGCGCTGCGGTCAGCGGGCGCGTGGGACGCGGAGGCGCTGCGCGGGGAGTTCGAGAGCGAGCGCGCGGAGGCCAAGCGCCGCGCCGCCGCCGAGCGCGCCCGCCTCGCCCGCACGCTGCACGCAGAGCGCGACCGCGTGCGCACCTGCCGCGACCTGCGCGTGCGCAACAGTCAGTGCACATACACTTCAACTATACTCGTATCACTTTACAATAATTTTCCTATATTTTTCTTTAATTTTTAACTTACAGGTAAAGGAGGTAAAGCTCTAGAATCCACGATGATACCAGGAATTACGCAGCTCAAAGAAAATGAACTGACCACGGCGGATGAAATCATCGCACGCGCCAAACAAACTAAGCCGATAGGATTAGAGGACGTGTTCGTGGAAACCCAAGCGCCACCTGCGCCGGTATCCGCTGTTAACAACAAGACTACACCAAAAGTGGCCATCCCGAGGTCTGCGAGTGCCAACGTCACGCCGAATGCGAATGCTCAACCCGCCCCGGCGACTTTGAATAAGAGCAGCGCCACACCCGCGGTACCCAACAACATCGAAACCGGATCTTTGGTCGTTTTGACCGTAAACGACCCCTCGTCCCCGTCAAAGAAGATGCTGCAAACTTACATCGCTCATGGCGGCGGCAGACTGACCCCGGTTTCCCTGCCGACTACCTTACTCAACTCAGTCGTAGGTTATATGAAGAAGGGAACACCTAAAAACACAACGACAACCGGTTCCCCACATTTCGCATCGCCGAGCAGCGTCACCAGCCAAGAGAGTCGCGGCAGCAGTACTCCTGGAGTCATCCAGGTAAACCCCTCGCCCACCAAGAGGCAGCGGTTAAGCTCTTATACTATTACACAGATCTAGCATTCAGCCACTGTAGTATTGGCTACGCTATATATCTTAAGATAGCATCGATATTGTCAATATATTAGGAAACTTTGACAAACGTAATCGACCTTGAAGTCGAATACAATAGAGTCGCTACAAGAAAGTTGTAGCAAAGAGCAGATCGGGTCAAAACACCGCGCTCTTGGACACACTATCTTGTCTTACCACGGTTACAATACTGTGTCAAAGCTCTCAACTGCAGTGATAACTAACCATTGCTGTAGTTAAACCAAATACCATGACTCACCATTGATGCATACAACTCATGGCACAATTCGCACAGCTGTTGTCATGTCACCATCGCTGTAACTACCGTGCCATATGCTTTGCCATTGCTGCGGATGAAATTTACTAACGTGTCATGACTAACGTTGACACAAATCATGAATATTGAAGGAGACGTTATATTTCAGCTTCCATACGATCTGGGAACGTGTCACTATTTATTTGTAAATTTTGTATTATTTTATTTTCATAATTTTTATGGATTCAGTGTATATGAACCCAACGGGTACTTTCCCCCATTGGATGAATTATTTCCGTGAATTTAAGATTCGGGAAAATAATTACTATTGAAGTCTATTTTGCTATTAATAGTCAAATAATGAATTCATTTTGTCTTGTCTTCTTATATTTTATGTTAATATAAGATTTTTAGTTAATAGCAAATACGTTTAATAGTGTTTTTTTTTTAAGTTAAAAGTGCTGTGAATTATGTTATATGATTTAAAAATAACTAAGTTTTTATTTTACGTACTTCAGTGACATATCTTAGTTATTACTAAAAGGTAGTTAATAATTAGGTTAAGTATTATAGGAAGAAATTTGGAATCTTTTCCTTGCTAGGATAACTTTGGCATTAGATTTTATTAACATAAAAAGGATGAACGTAAATTACCACCATTCATTCAATTTTAAAAAAACATAGAAAAAGTGAACTTTCTTTTTCTTACTTCTGTAAGAAGTCATCTGTCAGAAGTCACAGATCATTAAATTCTATTAATATCAACGATTTTCTTTTATTTAAAGATATACTACTGCTAATAATAAGATCTTGTTAATCCAAATACTTTTTACAAAATCTATTGCTTAAGTGCTTTAGCTTTAGGTATTTATGCAATAATAAGCCTTTATGATATATATTAGTATAATAGTAGCTTTTAGTTTAACGCGTCGTCTACTCCTCGAACTGTCATCGGCTCACGATCGCCGCGGCTTGACGTTGGTAGAGCGGGATAAAGATATAAATTTGTTAGCAAAACAATGTCTTTTCTGCTTGAACGAGTTGAGGCAACCCCGCAGTCGTTTGATGGCGATTGGAATATGTCTGCGACGTCAAGGCGGATATATGAGAACGTATGCTTAATCTTTAATCGTATGTATTGTGATAGTGTTAGTTTCATGCTAGAAAATTAGAAACCTGCGTTGATAAAAATATTAGAAGAGGCTGTTTAGTCAATTTTTGTCTAATGATAGATTTTTTTGTAGTTTTGGATCTAATACATGAATTGTAGACGATGTTGTTTAAAAAAAATAGCCCGTTAAAAAAAAATAGAAAGTTAGCCAATTTAGCGTTAATACGTGTTTGTAAACTTTTATTACTTTTAATTCAATCTTAAGAGATTTAAAACTTCATATATCATTCGCTTTTGGATCAACTAGTTGACGTGTGGCCATTATTTATTAAAGAAAAACAAAAAAAATGACGTCGAAAAAAAGACTACCATTTGACTCCTTTTAAAACTTATGTTGAATTCAACTAGTTGAACGAAAAACGGCCAGCACTTGATAAGTTGATTCCACTAATACGATTAATCATATCCCATCCCTAGTGATACGTCACTGTATCCCTTACCTTGTATCCATTACCGACAGATTTATTTGTACATCACAATCTCTAACACCTAAAATACATACATTTTTTTTACAAAATTATATAAATGTGTCTCAATTGAATGCATTATCGATTATTACAATCGACCGTTAATTTTCAACGTAGTTTATTTACAGAGGTGATATATGAAAATGGGAAATAAAATATGTCAAAAAAGTAGTATAAACTTTTGCTTTAGAAATGTATAACAGTAGGATGTATATCTCTAAAAATCTATAAACTCATAATAACCCACCTATGTGTATTTGTTTTACAAGAAAACACTTCTTTAGAATTGTAATATTCAGATTACAAATAAAAATGTTAGAAATCTGAGTACTTTTGTTTGATTTTTGTCATTAAACCTTTTTTTATAAACATGTTCAGTATCACTGACTTACATAGTATGTGTTCAAATTACAATGCTCACTAGCCCTCGTAAAGATGCATATAAACAAATCAAAATAAACATTTGTACTGAGTGCAAAAAAATGAAAAAGTCGGCTTACTTTTATTCCTAGTTCAAAAATTATTAAAAAAAATTGTCGTAGATTTATAACCTATAGAAAGTTTCATAACAATTGAAACATGAAGGGTCGATTTTTTTATTACAAATGACATTATTCTGGGAGTTTATCCAAATAAAACACCTTCAGAGGCTTTTCCCGTCTCACTTTTGTAGTCCAGATAGGTTATAAATCTATGCAAATTCTATTTGAAAACATTGGTCAATATAAAACTGAAACAAAAGATTTTTTTTTGGATATCTATAATCAACTAATGCGCTTCAATCACTTCATTCGGGAACCACTGAGATGATTCCAATGCATCCCAAAAAGATAATTCTGGGTCTAGGAATTCTTGGTTCATCTGATCAATATCTATTATCTTCTTGTGCTCTGTAATATTAAAAATATAGCAATGTTATACCAGAAAATATTTACATTTATCCATACACCAAGGGTTCGTATACTGCCTTTCAATAATTATAAACCACATCCTAGGACAAGCATGGAGCTTACTTGATATAGTACAAGAAATTTTAGTACCCAAAAAAATCTAATGAAATATTTAAAAAAAAGGTTTGATGTAAAAAATCATAAATTTTAAGGTAAGTATTCATTATTAAGTCACTTACCAACTAGTGCCAACTCATCATTTTGCGCCTTAACAATTGCAGCTTGCACCGGTTCGACAATAGGTGTGACTGCTGCAGCGCTCTGGTCACCTTGTCCATAATAACCCGACCAAGCTGAGTAATTTTGCCAATAGGCTGATGGATCATAATATTGATTATATTCTTGCTAAAATAACAATAATAGTGTGAAACTACATACATTAAAAAACAACTCTATAATTAAATAACACTATTAGAATCATTATAAAAGATTAGTTAGTTATTAACACCCTTCATAACATATTTTCATTAGTTGGTAATCAGGATAGCCATATACTCTTGACTATAACTCCTACATGTCTCATGCACTTTGAGATAATCATATGAGGTAGTTTAAAAGTAATATTTTTTTCAATGTAGTTAGGTAGAACATAAAAAGACTTCAATCAATCATCATCAGCTCACTATATGTCCCCACCGAGGGGCTCGGAGCCTACCCTAAGTTAAGGGTGATTAGGCCATAGTAAACCACGCTGGCCTAGTGCGGGTTGGTTGACTTCACACATATCTTGAATTTCTTCTCAGATATGTGCAGGTTGCACATCATATTGTTTTCCTTCACCATCCAAACCGAACGTTGGATAAATAAAAAGACTTACTGATCCATTATTATAAGCAGCATTTGATGTCACAGATGTGGTTGAATTCTGATTTGTTGTTACCCCTTTAGGTTTGGGAACAGCTGTGCATATCTTGAGAGGTTTAGTGCCGAGTCCTGAATAACCATTCATTGCATACAGTGCGTTCCGTTGCTCCTCCTCATTACCAAATCTAACAAAACCATAACCCTTTGTATATCCTGTGCCATCCAAAATTACTGAAAGATCAAAGAGTATTTATTTATTATTAGTAGAACCAATGAATTCTTTGTAATGCCATGTAAAGTAAATAACATAAAATGTAACAGATAAGTAATAATACAGATAAGTAATTCAAGACAAAACTATAAGCATAAAGATTGTTACCTTTTGCAGTTTTAATTGATGAGTACTTAGATGCAAATACTCTGTACAAAGAATAGTCATCTACATCAGGACTAAGATCCCCAACCCACACAGAAAACTCTCTTTCTTGCTGTAGGTTTGATCGTGCTTCTCTAGATGCTGTATTTAACCTAAACCGTACCACCGGAAATGTACCTGGGATAGGTTTACCATTAAGTTTGTGCATGGCATCAATTGCTTCTTCATCTGTCTACAAATATACATTTGTTTCTTTAAAAAATTACTCCATGCATCTCATTTAGGTTGATATTTTTAGGAAAAGGCAACAAAATAGTATAAAACTGAATCATATATTGAAAAAGCAATAAATACCTGAAAGTGCACAAATGCATAACCAGCAGGTTCACCTGTAAACTTATTTCTCATAACTTTGACTGTCAATGGCCTTTGTCCCATCCTATGAAAGGCTGCCATTATAAAACTTTCCGTCATATTGGGCTCTAACTGTAAGGAAAATCATAACTTTAATAAATAATATCATGGTAAACTCAAATAAACTTTTAGGTATGCACAGTTTTAGTGCGCAAATTTTGCATGGTCAGTAATTAATACCTATAACGTTACTTACACTGCCCATCCATAGTTGGCACTGCATTGCCATCAGTTCTTGTTAAAAATTTTCAAAAAAGTTTTCAAAGTTAAAATAAGAGCTGAAGTAGAGGTAGACGCAATTTATACTTGTTACTGTTGTTCACCACTTTACAAGACTTCAAATCCCTTAGTTTATCAGTTGACGAGAATCAAAATAATTTGATTAATGTATTACAATCAAGATTTTTCATAAATTGTTGAAATTAAATTGAACTAAAAACACAAGCAAATGTCTGTCATATATGTCAAACGTCAAATAAAATCAAAAGGTATAGAGTTTAACAGAGTTTATGGTCTAATTTAGTGTTGTTGGTTGGTCGTGCAGTGATTTTGAACGGTAAGATCTTGAGCTGCTATTTTGAGACCGTTCAGAGGCAGACTTAATTAACACTTATTATTTCTTAATTTTAAGGTAAGTCTTTATCGAAAAAGAGTCATCAATGAAAACAGGTTTGTAAAAACATCCTTCATATTTATTGTGAATTGCAAATATCGATTTAATAAAACCTTGCAATATTCGTTACGAGGTGAGGTTACGACCCTACTCATTATGTAGAATGTAAAATGTGATGATGACATTGACATGCAGTATGCAGTGCAGTGTATGTTTTATATTTTGTAGTATGTGATAGTTATACATGGTATATTTATTCTTCACATTTCTTTGTTTCGATTTCAGTTTGGCTATTGTATATTGTTAAAATTTTTTAAAAAAAGGGACGTGTTAAAAGTATCCTAAATAATAAAACATGTCAAGATTAGACAATATCGACGCCTTAGATAGGCAATTGGCTGACTTACAAATGAGTAAAGACAACCATACACCCGGAAAAGTAAAGAAGGTACCACCAGCTGTGCCGCCAAAAAAGAAGGCGCAACCACAAGTTCCTCACAGTGCCGTAGTGAATACATTACGTGAACCATCTTATTCCACAAAAATTTCACCTGTTTTAAATAATAATGCCTCAACATACAGTAACATATTTTCCTCTAACGTGAGGCCGCCGAATAAAGATTACGCAAACGTGAATCATCAACCCAATCTACAATCTCCTTACAAGGCAACTGCACAAGTAAAAAGCAACATTCCCACTTATAGTAATGTCCCTGGATATACAAGCAGTCTGAACAAACCACTGCCTCCCCCTCCGCCGCCACTACCTCCGCAACATTTAACAAAGCCTATTTTGTATACAACACCAGCTTTTGAGAATAACACTGAAGAGTATTTACCTCCACCATCTCCAGTGAGTTCTAACTACAGTGAGTTAATGAGAGCAACAGCTAATCTTAATTATAACCAGGAGAGACCTTCTTATCCTCCTATATATCAAAATGAATATCCAGAATATGGAGTGTCCCAGGCTTCTACTTATGAATCACTATATGAGCCTATTAATCTTCACACTCAAGGAAATGGTCAAGGAAGAACCAGTAATATGCCAATATCCAAAACTAAGTCACCTTTACCTAAAGAAGAAGAAGTTGATGCACTGACTAATCTCCTTGTACAATCTATTTCTGATAGTCAAGATTTGGATATATTTGGTATATGCATAAAATGTGATGAGAAAGTGGTTGGTGAAAGTTCGGGATGTACAGCAATGGGGAATATGTATCATGTGAAGTGCTTTTGTTGTCACCAATGCAACACTAATTTACAAGGAAAGCCATTTTATGCTGTTGAAGGGAAGCCATACTGTGAAGCAGATTACTATGAGACCTTGGAGAAATGTTCTGTTTGCAATAAGCCAATTCTTGATAGAATTCTAAGAGCTACGGGGAAACCGTACCATCCCACATGTTTCACATGTGTGGTGTGTGGTAAAAGCCTTGATGGAATACCATTTACAGTTGATGCCACCAATCAGATCCATTGCATTGAAGATTTCCAACTGAAGTTTGCTCCTCGTTGCTGTGTTTGTGAATTACCAATCATGCCAGAAGAGGGAGAGGAGGAGACTGTAAGAGTTGTTGCATTAGATCGCAGTTTCCATGTTCGTTGCTACCGATGTGAAGACTGCGGTCTTATGTTGTCTTCTGAAGCTAAGGGCCATGGCTGCTATCCTCTTGATGGGCACATTCTATGCAAAACATGCAATGCTCATCGGATTCGTCATCTTACTAAAGTAATGACTACTGATCTTTAAATGCATAATATAATTAGATTTTAATTACTTATGACATTTACAGATAAGAAGGCACTATACGCTAATGTCTTGGATGACTAATTATTCTTGGGGAAGATTTTCTTTTTCATATTTATCATTATATGCATATTATTCACTTTGTAGCGTAAGAAATATTTATTTACAAGTAACGATATACTTAATGCTTTGCTTATATAAAGTATAGATTTATACATAAGAAATTATTTTTTGAGATATTTACATTATATACAAATTTAGTATTGAATCAAGCCATATTAATAAAAAAATACTACTGTGAAGACAACTGTTCCTATAAGGTAACTTGGCAATTTAGCTTTTCGAGTTTTTGAAAGACTGAGATAACATGAAAAGCATAAATCAACTATTCATATCCCAAAATGGCAACTAAAATATGTGATTAATTTACAAAAAATGTTTAAATGCATTATGAATGCTATAGTTTAAGAGCCTTACATATGTCTATGTATAAAAAAAACAAGGCTGTTGTGTTAATTTATTATTTAAATAAATATTTATATCAAACAGCTCTTTATTTGTCTTCTTGATGAACTTCAGACAAGTAAAAATTAAGATATTGTAACAGATATAAAATTACCGTTTGCACTCAAAAAACTTGGTTGTATAGTTTTTGTTAGGTTTGTTATTAAAAAAAGGAGTGGTTTTACATATATCACCGATCGTCATACAATAACTGATAAAATACCGATATGGTTGATATGTTGGAATATGCGATTAAAAAAAATAAACTTACGATTATACACGTCTTTATTTTTTTTTTCATAGTATATACAAAATAGCAAAGCTAAAAATTACAATACTGGCAGGAATATATTGTATAGAAAGGCACTTACATCACAGTTATTTTAATATTAAATGGAATGGGAATTTAAGGGAAGGTAGTGATTTTAAACTTTTTTATACTGCTTCATTATACTTTCAAATATTTCACGACTAGTTATATCACCCGGTAAACTTCGGTAAAACATAAAAATTATGCATCTTATATAATAGACATATTGATGTGTAAACATAATTATGGTATTTTTTTAAATTGTGTATGAATATGGTCACAACTTTTGTGTTTTAGAAAAGAAAAATCCGGTAGCAGTATAAAAATGACTACAGTCCTTATGAGATCCATGTTTATGACTTTATAGTAACCAACATATTAAGTACTAGCTAAATTATACAGGAACATAAAATAATACATCCAGTTTACGAGATTCCATTACCATTCCGAACAGATCCATTATCAATAAGTACTTTCTCAGTATTAATGGCAGTCTTTTAAATCAATCTATATTTTTATCATGTCATTACAATCAATACTGTATCAGAAAAACATAATATGTATGTCTTAAAGTTACAGTATATTCAGTCATAGTTTGGCAAAATTTTGGCAAATAATATAAAATCTACACATTTTAAGTCCACAATCCTTGAACTTTGTATTGAATTTCATGAAAAGTTTGTCTTTAATATTTATGCTTTATGTTTTAGTTTCGTGTTAAACTTTGGTGGACTTAATACCTGTTTCATAAACAAAGATCTTTTCTCCTTTATTTGTTTCGATGATAAATCATAAATATTTGTACCAGACACAGATTTCGATTCAGATGAATGATAATTAGGTCTTTTATGGGTTGAAATTATATCTTCACTTCTCAAATCTTCATTTGTAACATCCAATTGATTCCGTAATATGCAATTATCAGACTGGTGTAATGTATTGTCTGAATTATAAAGTATTTCTTCATCTGAATGTAGATTTAACTTAGGTTCAAACCGTTCCCTTAAAAGAGAAAATTTCCTCCGCGGTCTATTACGTGTAGTTTTTTTGTTGTTTGAAATTTTACTTGTGGAAGTATTAACAAAGGATGATGAAGCGTCTTTATGTATCAGAGATTGCAGTGAAGGCGTTTTACGACTTAAACTCAAATCCTCATTTGAACTGAGAGGTAGAGAATTTTCAGAAACCATTTGCCATAGGAAGTCCACGTTTTTACTTGACAAATCTTGATGTTCAGTTCTAATATTATTATTTTTAGAATAAGATTTTGTTTTAGAAATGTTAGACTTTTGCCGTCGCGCGGTACTTTTATTATACGATACTTGTGAATTAGGGGACGATGATGATGATGAAACATTTACGTCCTTTTTACTTGTATCAAATTTGGATCCATGGAAGACATCCAAAATATTTTCTTTTTCAGGTAACGACTCCATTATGTTACTAGAATTAAATTTGGAAGGTTCTTTCCAAAGGGCCCTTTTCAAATTATTTTCAATTTTTGAAGAATTAAATTGTGGCGAATTTAAAAATTGTTCACGTCTATGATATAGATTTCTAGGCGAATTAGTGACTGTTGCTTTACGAATTTCATCTATTGTCGCTACCAGTGAACTTTCTGAATTGAGTCGTTTTTTGCAAGCGGGATCAATATCCCCCAAATCATCAAGCTCTTCAAGAATAGGCTCCAAATGATTCGGATCCTTAATATTGTCTATCATACAAGGCTTAGCCAGGAAAGTTTCATCATTTGATTGGCAAACTACAGAATTCGCATAATCTTCTTGAGAACTCCTATCGAACTTTACGAATACATTTGAATACGTGTGAGCCTTTTTCGGAAAGGGCGGTGCTGATAATATGGCGTGTTTCAAATCTTGTGAAATACAACTACTGATTTCGGAACTGCCAGACGTTAATGTATCTCTGCTCCTGTCCCTAACTACGCTCCCATCGTGAAGCCAATTCTCAATATCACAGTATCCATTCCAAGATCGCAAGCCCCACGCTTCTCTTGCGATGTTCACCGCACAAATATTCTCATAGTCGTGTACTGACAGAATTTCAGTTGGAGTGTCCAGATCACGTTGTTTAGAGTTTAATAACTCAGAGCTAATGCCGTTCTTCTTCTTATCTTTCTTAGCATACATTTCCTTGAGTATATCAAGAGCTATTCTTTGAATATTCTCGATATCGGCATCTTGGTTACCTACTTTTATATTTTTTAATGCGCTTAAACATAATTTCTGCACAATATTTTCATTAAACGTATTTATATCAGAACTGTTGATATCACTGAAACTTAAATCCAAATCCATATCTATAGAATCTGACGAGGTTTTTTTATTTGAGCCATCGGTATCGTGGCTTATCTCAGAACTATGATCAGTTTTTATTGTTTTAGCAAATTCTTCATTTACAATATTACATGCTTCTAAATTTAAATTTGTTAATTCATTACGTAGTTCATCCGATGAACAGATTCCGCGTCGCTTTTGCAAATTAAGTGTAAAGAAAATGGAGGTAATTTCGTCAATTGAATTTTCTATATTCTCTATGGAGGGTACTTTTAAAGTAAGTTCTGTTGGTGGGGCGATAATCTTCTTTTTATTTATTTTCGAGGTAATTTGCTCGATTTTTGAATTGTCCCGTTTTGTAGCAGTACACTGAGGAGTATTCTCTATTGAATATATTTCAATACTCGATGCATCTGCGCTGACGTTGCCGACTGGCGCAGATGTAAATGTCGGAGATCCAGATCTAGCGATCCAATGATCGAGTAAGAATTTCTTATCTGCATGTTCACTTTCAATTTGGGATACTTGTTCTTTTATTGTTGGATCTTTGCTATAAATAACAAATAAGTATACAGAAAGTTATATTTGTTATAAACAATAGATATTACAAGGCTAGATCTTTTTATAGAAAATGATATTTTCTCTCAAACATGTGACACTGTGCCGGTGTACTGGCGCAACACTAGAGTTATTAATATTATATATCGACACTAATGTCCCCTCACTAACGCAGTTTGACACTTGACGTTGCAACGAGAGCCGGTCATGCGCGTCATGTCTAAAAATCCAGATATTTAATAAGAGAAAAATATAATTACCTTGGAGTGTCCGTAGTTTTATCTTTATTTGCACTTTTAAATGACCTGACATGACACAATGAACTGGGTTTACTAGGTATATTGCCAGTCTGGGAAACTTTGTTATTCAGTTCAATATCAGGCTCGGCGTATTTCCATGGGATTGGTCCTTTTGAATGAAAATATCTATAATACAATATCATTGCAAACATTCCTGAAATAGAAAAAGGCTTTGATTAACACATGTGAAAATTAATAGCAATATGTGAGTGTTACACTTGAATAGGCTAAAATAGGATAAGAAATAATGTCTATGTAACATCATCATCAGCTCTCTATACGTCCTCACCGAGGGGCTCGGAGTCTACCCTAAGTTAGGGGTGATTAGGCCATAGTCAACCACGATGGCCAAGTGCCGGTTGGTTGACTTCACACATATCTTTGAATTTCTTCTCAAATATGTTCAGGTTGCATCACGATGTTTTGCTTCACCGTAAAAACGTCGGATAAATGTACATATGTAAATCGGAAACCGAAACACATTGGTGCATGGATGGACCTGAAGATTGCAAGTCAAGTGTTTAACCCCTGAGCCACCAACACTCTTTTTATGTGTAACATACTTTTAAATTTTTAAAAAAATGTGTCAAAGAACTCACCAAAAATAGTACCCGCAATAATACAGATAGTTGCAGCAATCGACCAAGGTTTTCTTTGTTTTTCAGTATCCGTTATTAGCACGTATAGAAATAAACTGCCAAAGTTTTGTGTGACCATGAATGTATAAAACATCATAAGACGATACCGTGTTTGACCTTCTCGTAAATTTATAAACGAGAAACAATACACAAATCCCATAACCGCATTGTACAATGTTTCTTCAAGTTTATTAGGACAGAAAGTTGTTTTCTGTATTACAATCCAAAAAGTCATAGCAGCCCAATGTAATACTGAAAAAAAATTACTCCCTGTTTAAATAATACCCTCCATCTATACAACATTTTATTTTCAGGAAACATACATTTTTAAATAGATTAATTGTAAAAGAAACTCACCTAATGGTAATAACGTCCACATACCGAAAACAATTGAAAAGAGTAAAATCCCTGCAATTCTTCCGATCAACATACCGAAATGCCATATTAGTTTTAATAACAGCGATTTCCATTGAAATGTTTCATTTGATAATAATATAATACTGTAGATGTATGTAATACTGCCCCACACTACTGAGGCTATTGATGCTGTCAGTGCAAACACTAAAACACATTAAGAAAATACACACATTAAAAAAATCTATAGTAACTTTTTAAAAATGAGCAATTATAAGATTAAAGGAGCTAACAATTGGATCATCACGAGCTGACTATACATGCCCACTGAAGGGATCAGAGCCTGCACTAAGTTAGCAGTAACTAGGCCTTTGTCAAGCATGCTGGCCTAGTGCGGGTGGATTGACTTGACACATATCTTTTAATTACTTTGTATATATGGTTAAGTTGCATCACAATATTTTCTTTAACCGTAAGAGAATTTTCGCTATAATGAAATCAACAATATGAATTAATTTAACTAACCTTTAGTATGGTAATTCTCATTTAACATCAATATAGCATATGTTTGCAGAATTATCTGCGGTATTGTACCCGTAAAAATATATAAATAATGCAAAAGGCTCAAATCATTTCTTTGACATATTAACTTTTGTGTTTTTACGGATTCCAAGTTCTTGCAGGTGAACACCTTTCGCAAGAATATTATATACCTAAAAAATATGGAAATAGTTACATTATATCAAATTAAGGACAAACCAAAAAATTACGATAAATTTATGAAATTAAGCTAAACGATGAACATTTAGTTTTGCATGCTATTATTATAAAGATTTACTTTCCATTCTTTACCTTTCTAATAATCCTACAAGGAATCCATGTGTAATCCAATGTTTGATAGTTGATTTATTGTCTATAATAAACCATCTTATTGAAAATATATTAATTAGAACATTAGGAGACAACATAAAAATAAAAGTTGCAAGGGCCCAATGTAAATACCCATCTTTGCAGTATTCTGCAAAAACCAGGATATCTGAAACAATACAATTTTAGTCATTAAATAATATAGCTCTAAATTCTTCACCTTTGTTTGTTTTAATAATTGGAGCTATTGATTTAAAAGCGCGAATATATTATTAAAACCCTCATCCTGATTAATTATAGTCAGGATTATAATATTGTTTAACAGCTCTATAATTTTTTGTGAATTTAAGTTTTTTTAATAACTTATTAATGATGCCAGAAGATTTATTCTTTTTAAGGAACTGGCGACCATAATTATTTCTTTTATAGTAGATTGAGTGTTTGATAGTAATTTAACAAACAGATAGATGAATAATCATGTCTTACTTGTAATAACTTTTTGGTACACAAAAATAATAAATACCTTCATAACTAGTGGTGAGTAATAATTGTAACGTACCTGTTGTTAAATCGGCTAGTATTGTAACAAGTGATATAAATACACTTAACACATTAAACACACAAAAATATTCATCGTCGTTAGCTACAGTCTTTCTGTCTATTTGACTACCGAGTCTGCAAGTCTCGGCCATTCTATATAATTATGCACATTATTAAGACAAAGCACTCCTTAAACGGCCATTCTATTTACTCTTACCAAAATACCTATAGGATATATATGCTGTTTAAGTTTTAACCTATCAATATAACTTATTATTATATTTAAGTTTAAGTTAAGTCAACGGCAGCGCAGACGCAGCTCATTTCAATTCAATCAAGCCAGCGACCACAGATAACCACAAAGCAAACAAGTTTATGTGTATTATCTATGCGATTCACATCACACTCTCTACCCCTGACCTCTACATAATGGACATGCTATAAACCGGGATTTTTGTGCCTATTTGATTTTCGCCATTTTAGTATTAACTAAATGAAACCCATTTGTTAGCGGTGGTTAGGATTCGAATTAATTTAATACTAGTGTATTATAAAATTATCCATTACAGTAACTATACTGTAATGGATAATTTTATTTTTCTTTGGCCTAGCAAAATATTAATTCTGGCATGAGTGCGCTACAATTGCCATTAATTGTAACTTTATTATACATCTACGTCAATCCATAAAACACACTATTGTCATAAAAATATAACTCAATCTGTTTTTTTCCATATATCCTTCAGAATACAAACAACAAACAGAAAACTGTAATATGGTGAGGAGTTGTATCTTTCTGGGACGCCTATATTTCATGAGCCTGGCAAGTGCGCGCTCTTTGAAAGTCTGTTGACACTTGACATTGACATGTATAGAATAACATCAACAAATACACAACGTATAATTTATTTGATTTTGACCTAAATCTTAAAATTTTAAAAGAATTGATACTGTTTTTTGTATAAATGGTTCAGCTTAGATATTATAAACCGAATGTAATAGGTGTTCCATAGTCAAAATGATACACGATGCTTTGTTAGTTTTATGGGATTGCTCACACGGAGACGTATCATCGGTGCGTTTTTTAAATTCTTTTATTTAGAAAACTTGAATTTTTAAATCAAGCTAATTTTTGCTTACAGACTGAGCCAGTTTTATATGCCAATGAAGGAGATGCAGAAATTTATAGTAGAATATGTTCAATTGCAAAAAGTCATCATAGAATTCAAAATTTTATTGCAGCTACATCTTTTCATTCAAGAAAATTGCAAACAGGTAACTTAAGGTTAAAAGATCCTTATGTTTTCTTCGAAAGAAAAAAATGTGACTATAATTTCTTACAAGTTTTATTATTTGCAGCATCAAACATTAGAAACTTTGGCTTATATGGCCAAGCATTAAGTGAGGGCATTACCGAAGTATTACAATCATATAAAAAAGCTTTAGTAAAGGTTGAGAAATTAGTTATTGGAAATAAAGACTATACATTAACATTTGTGTATAGCCATGTAGAGAAATTCCAAGGATTGTTCAATACAATTAATAAGATAATTAGCACAATAAAAGAGAGAAGGCTAAGTGGCTGTGAAATTTTGAGTTTAACTCATCAAAATATATTAAATGGAAATGAAATGGTTCATAGTGCAATTTTGAGGTGAGTTACTTAAGTGCTAAGTGTATCATAAAGAAAACATCAGAAGATTAAAAGCTTCCAAGTAAATATTTTTTCAGACTTAATTAGGATTTTGAATTATAATAATAATCTTTTACAGAATGTTCTCTTGTATTAACAATGTATTTATAAATCAACTCTGTGCATGGCTACTTTACGGAGAACTAAAGGATCCATATGAAGAATTTTTTATTTACCGAAATAAAAAGGATGACTTATCAGAGACAGTGCTTTCAACACCATCCATTTCAAATACTTGTGATAAAACCCTTGTGACAACTGTATGTATATATTTTTTTATTTGTTTATGGTCAATATTAATTTACATATTATACAAGCACTTCAATAATTCCAACCAGACGAGGCAGATTTCATGAATAATGTCATTAATAGACATATATAAAAATAAAAACAGTTTTGACTTTTTTAGTTACAACAAACTTCACTGGACTGTGGGTACAACATAAATCCTGGTATGATACCATACTTTATGCCATTATCACTGGCACAAGAAATATTATTTATCGGCAAGACTGTTATACTCTTTGGTTTTGATCCCAGGAAAGTAAAGAGGAGCAACATTACATTAAATAGCACCTTAATGCCATTACATAAACTTGATTATGATTCTAGGAGGTGTGTATACTTCTGTAGTAGTATATTAATTATTGTCCTGGTAATATTAAGTACTAGATGTTGCCGCTACTCCATCCGCACGAAATAAAAAAAAAACTTAATAAGTAGCCTATGTTTTCTTCTAGACTATGTTCTACATCTATGCTAAATTTCATCAGGATCCATTGAGTTGTTTGGAGATACCTTAACACAAATATCCATCTAAACATTCACATTTATAAATTTATATTATAATTGTTTGCTTATAATTTGTTCAAAGGTTCACTATTTGGGAAGAAAAAGAAGCAGAATTTCATAATAAGCTTCAACAACTCAAAGAACCAGAAGTGTTTGAAGTCTATAATCTGAGATGTGTTGTTAGAGAAATAAAGGAATGTGTTACAAAGGTAAATAACATCTAATTATGCTTGAGTTGGCACATTAGGCAAAAGGCTACTCTTATATCAATGTGCCAACTCATATGCTAAGTACTATAACTTATTACTTTACTTTCAGCACTTGTGGACAGTGGCAGTAGAAGAAGCACATTTATTACATGAACTACGCCTTATGAAGGACTTCTATCTGTTAGGACGTGGTGAACTATTTCTTGAATTGTTGCGACTCACCGCACACATGTTGGACAAGCCAACTACACGAACATCTACTAGAGGTAAGGCTCAAATTGCGAGATGTTTTACCATTTTTAAACTTGTATATATTGTATCCATCCATGCTATCTCTTATACTTTTTTCTTAAATTATTTTCCAGGAAAATATTCCAAATCAAAGCTTTTAATATGTCTGATTTAATTTTTTTTTAGACATGAACCATGCGTTCCAGTTAGCCGCAAGAGCGGTGTTCTTGAGCAATAGCGCTGATATAGAAAAGTTCAGCTTTGAACTGCCTTATATCAAACCAATAGCCGATGCGACTGCCAATTCTTCTCTTGATGACGACAGCAGTGTTGGTAAGATTCACATATTAATATTTATGATGCACTAGCTGTCGCCAGCGACTCCGTCCGCTCGGAATTAAAAACAAACTCAATATGTGTTCTTCCAGACTATCCTATATTCTAAATTTCATCAAGATCAGTTGAGCCGTTATAGTCGAGTTTGTAGTTAATCTTCTCCGTAATATAAAGTTGCAGATGGCTGGTCAACTATAATCTTAAAGTACGATTTCAAGTGGCCTCTACACTTGCTGTTCGCACCTGAGGTACTCGCGCGATACAACGACATGTTTCGTCTGCTGCTCAGGATAAAGAAGACGCAACATGACCTGCATGCTTTGTGGAAAACATACAAACAGACGAGGAGGTAAGTAATAGTCTAATATCTACGGCCTTATCATTTAATCCCTTATTTGGGTTTGATTCTTGTTGAAAAATTGTTTTTGTTTTTATATATTGATTTTTCTTCTTGCAGATTTGCTGTATGTCAATTACATAATAAACTCATGTTTCTTATGGATAATCTGCAACATTACTTACAAGCAGATGTGTTGGAAAGTAATTTCTCTAGACTCATGGATGCCGTTAACAAAACTAATGATTTTGAAAAACTTAAAGCAGCTCACGCTACATTTCTCGCTGATATACTGAGTCAGTCATTTTTAACAACTACCACAGTGAGTAATTTAGTTATTTAGAAATTTTAAATGTAATATATACTCTATGCTCCCAAGACCCCTCAACTTTATTCTATGTTTTAGTCAATTTGACTCTAAATTAATTCTACAAAATAGTTTTATGATGTACTCTGTTGTTATTTGATATATATGATATACTTGACATTCAAACAACAATCTCTAAATATTAGTTTTCTTTCCTTTACAGTCGGAACGTTCTGAAGGTGGTGACTCTTCAGGTGATGGTGTAGAAACGATCACAAACCCAGTGTTTGTCAATATCATGGATCTGTTGAAGTTGTGCGACTCGTTTTGCAGTATGAGCGAATTTGCATCGGACAGGGAAGCAGAGGATTACTATATTAAGGGTTATTCCGATAGGTATGTTTAAAAACTATGATCAATATAGTTCGTTACTTTTGAATGTGTACCAATGTTGATAGAATCATAAAAATACAATTTTGTTTAAAATATTCCCTGCCACAAATTTTGTATATGAAAGAGAAATTCATAGCTGGGTCGGTGGAACTAAATCTGTTAATTAGAACCGAGCTATATTTGTTTATTTGTATGTGTACAGATTCAACAAGCTGGTAAAGCAGCTGACACAACTGTTGGTATGCTTGCGGGACCGCGCGTGCGGAGCATACCTTGCACGTCTACTTATGCGGCTCGACTACAACCGCTGGCTGAGTGCTGAGGCGGAACTCACACGCTCTCTAACTCATATGCTACGCTGTTAACGTCTGATGTGCGCGGACACATGTTATATTAGCTATCCCTTTCCCCAATTCATAATACAAGTGTTTTTAATAAACAGCCAAAAACAATATTTTGTACTTCTATTTAAAAAAATCACTAAAATATGTTAAAATGTAATAAGTAATAACATCTAAAAGTTGAATAAAAAGATAATAAATATAATATGCAACATACTTTATTGCAGTTTTATTTCAACTGTCATCTATAACTTCGTCTTCTAGAATCTCCTCGGTGGTGCTCTTCTCATCACCAGTTTGTCCGGCATGTTGAAGCATGAGCATTTTAATTAAAATGCATTTTGACATATCACATGAACATGGTATCGGATGATCTATAGTCTCGGGATCCAAAAGTTCTACGTGAAGATTGTATCTGTAGAAATTATAATACAGTTTGCATTGTTAGATATATTGAATAGTCTATTCAAAATTGGTGATGCCAAGTAGTCAAATTTCATCACCAGAATCAGAGGCATAGGAAAAAAATACTTGATCTATGCATCCCCTCCTTCATCGATTAAAGGTATGCTATGCATCTGCAATTGGGGTTATCTATGGGTAGCGGCCACTTCGCTATTTCGGCGGATTTAGGTGTCCCTTTGCTTGTTTGCTACCTTAAGATAAAAAAAATATATATTCCTATCCTCATTAACTTAGTATTTATAACTCTTACCTCCTATTATTAATTATGTCTCTTGACATGCTTAATTTAAACGCTAAAGGTTCTGATTCTTCAACTTCTCTTTCCTCAGGAAATAATATAACAGTTTGCTTCCAATGTGTTTGCGGACTGTGGGGACTTGTACTTAGAACAACAGGTTTACAATTTTCAGAAAACACAGGGAATGTGCAATCAAACCATAAACAAAGACCTTGATATTTTCCTGCTTTATTGACACCTGTGGAATCAAAGAATTGACCATATGGAAACAGAAAATGTAATTCTTTTATAACTAACCAGCAATACATATTATTAACATTTATTTATTCATGAAACCTCTTTTAACTCATCAGTTTGCGTGAGGTTTTTATTTAAGAATAGCTGTCGCCCGCGACTCCGTCCGTGCGAAATTAAAAAAGAACTTAATTTACTAATTAAGTTTCGACGAACACATCGGCTACTGCCGATGTGTTCGTCGAAACTATGTTCTATGTGTATGCCAATTTTTTTTGAGATCTATTTAGATGTTCCGGAGATATTTTCAAACAAACATCCATCCATCTAAACATTCTCTTTTATAACAATTGTAAGATAATTTATAGAAATATTTTATCTATTTAATAATAAATTGTAAATACTTACCAACAACATGTTGTATTTCAAGTGAGTCTAATTCTGATATTTGTACATCTTTCAAATTTATGCAAGCCAAAAGAATTTCAGTGCCTAACAAATCTTCTGGTTGTATTTGCATAATTTCCGGTTTTTTGCTTTTGTCCATTCGCAATAACTTAGCAAAAGTAAACATAGAAACTCCATGAAAACTATCCCATTTGTGGTATAAGCTTGGAACACTGCAATATGATATTTAAAAATAGAATTTGTTTTGTGCTATATCACTTGTTGTCTCTGTTCTGTCAAAGAGAATAAAAGTTTAAATAAAACTTTTCCATTAAAGGAATGGTTAATGGAAAAGAATTCTCCAATAATATGCATACAGCTTACACTTTTAAAGCACTACAAAGTTATTCAAATAAGCCAAAGTAGAATTAAATATTAACTTGATATCAATAACATGCTATATGTATGAAGTAGTACAGTAATTTACATTCTAGTTGTTTTACTTGACTTTATATGTAAAAGAATTATGTCGGAAATCTAAAAACTAACAAATGCATTATTGCCAATGTTAATGTTAACTAAATGAATCAAAAAACTCACCTACATGGTGCAACATAAATAGCAGCACTTTCCGGAAACATTTGTCCATCCTCTTTAAGAAACTTGTCTCTGGCTACCAATACAGAATCTAACATGCCTTCATGAAGAAGATAAAACCCCATCCATTCTGATACTATTATATCTACTTTTTCATTGTTTGGTAGTACTACATTTTCAACTTCATTTTGTATTACCTGTAAGACAAGAAATGGTGAATAAAAAAATATATTAGCTCAACCAAATATACTCCATCAAAGACAAGAAAAATTATTCTGAGATTATTCATGCCTAAATTGGAATCCTAAATGAATGTTTAAGAAATTAGAAGATAGTAGTATTCTTGTTTATCATATTGTTATTTTTGTAGGATCCTTCGAAAAAGAAAATGACATACCTCTATTACTTCTTCAAAGTTGTTTTCCTTTACTACATCCTTAGCAATATTAGCAATATTACTTGCTTCAACAGCATAAACTTTTTTCGCACCAGCTTGTGCACAAAAGACAGATAAAATTCCTGTGCCGCATCCTACATCCATTACTATTTTGTTTTTGAAACATTCTTTATGTTCATGTATAGCCTTTCTATATGTTTCTGTTCGGCTGTAATCCTCCAGCATTAGTCTGTGAATCTTAAAATTTTACTACATGTTTTTATTGAACAAAATAATTGTACACTGTGCTACACTTTTAAGCTTATTAACATAATGGAATACCTCTAAGTCTTCATAACTTGTAAAGTAATCTTGATCGCTGTCCATTTTCGAGTTTATTTTATTTTTGTATTTTAGCAATTTTATTAAAGCTGCACTATGCAAAATAAAAACATAACCTTATATTTTTAAGAAATGTGAGTGGTTATGTTTGTATTGCCTTATCAAAAGTCAAGATCATTTTTTTTTAATTTTATGACCTGGTAACATAGACCTTTAGGTTATAGTCAAATTCAAATGTCACTCTTCACAAAGAGCGTAATATTTTATATACTCTTTGAGCGTAATATCAAAATGGGTCATGACTTAAAAACCGAAAAAATGAAAATAATATTTAAAATCTTTATCGAAGATTTAAAGCAACGCAAACTTATATTTTTACAACAGCAATTTTTTGATACGTAAACAGATCGATTTGGTATGAGTATGGAATTAGTATTAACGACTGCTGAATTTCATTTCACCTACTCTATGGCATTGGCATCAATTGTCAATTCAACAAATTTCAATCAACTTCGCAAGCATTATTTTATTTCCTTTAATGTTATTTCTTGAGATGAGAATAAATTTACGTAAAAAGTAGTCTAACATTCTCATAAATCAACAAAACATCTTGAAACAATGGCCAAAGAAAGCAATATGTCGTTGTTTCATGATGTATTGGAGCCGTTTAGAAGAGTAATAAATACTGATCCGCCAAAAGACAAGTTATCGGCGTCTTCAAAATTAAATTTATCTAATAGTGATGTTTCCATTAAAGAAAGTAAATAAATACTCTTATCGTCTATATATTTATCTCATTCGTTTTCATTCTAGTTCGTTTTATTACATTTTCATTGTTTTCAGGTCTATCTAACCTATTATCAACTAAACGAAAATCTAGTATGGATACATCTGAATTGTTAACACCAGAGAAACGTCCTCGCACAGAGTCTACATCGACCAATTCACCGGTACCACCTTCACCATGGGAGGCTAAGAAAATGAAAATAGATTTAATTGCTGCCAAAGCTCAGGTTCATTTTGCATCATTTTTAATGTTTGTTGATTATTTTTTTAATTATAAAATGTATTATTCGTGTTCGAACTCCAGGTATGTTTATAAGTATATCATACATGTTATTTACTTTAAATTTGTTATACATATTGTTTAATTAGTGTATTAATTACAATTATTGACATAAATTTCAGATTACTAAGTTGGAAGCTCGTGTCAATCATCAACACTCAATACGAAAGGAAATGCAAATATTGTTTGAAGAGGAAAAAGCATCATTGATGGATCAGCACAAAAGAGATGAGAAAGCATTAGCTGATATGGAGGAAAGATTACAAGTGATACGTAGAAGAGAACAGGAATTAAGAGAAGATCATACTGCTGTTAGTATTATTAATAATTCTAGATATGATTCTTTATAATGTTCTTAGGTACATAATATTTGTTCTCTAAGGTATAAATTAGGTTATGAGAGGCTTTAAATTCTCTTTGAACTGGTGTTACCACTAGAACTGGCTATAGTGTTTAATTCTTATTTTTAACCTTAAATATGCTGCATTACTAATATAAATTTTGGACTAAATTTTCACCATGTAAGAAAATTGAATTTGACAACAAATATTGTAAAACATTTTTAGGCTGTAAAGGAAAACATGGAGAACAAAACAAAATGGGACAAAGAAAGGTTGGAACTACAGAAGCAGATAGCAGATCTTAAAGACAAATTGTTGGAGGCTAATGTTAGCAGCAGGAATCAGGTCTCGGAGATGAAGAAGGACATGAATGAACTGCTACAGGTCATATTAATAAACGGTTCACACATTGCCGCTATGAATTCAACAATACATTTATAGTTTGAGTCAGTGCTGCTGAATGTGTTAATTTATGCAAAATTATATTTGTGACCATTAATCTTTTAGTATTTATATAACAGACTTATAATATTGAATGTGTTTTATGTATATTGAAATTTTCACTTATGTAGAAGTAATATTGATATAACAATCCACAAACAGTAGAAATCATTTAAAATATTATGATTAGTATTCTGACTAATATGTCTATCCATCCATAACATATTTTCAATGTGTTTGGTCTTCAAAACTCTTACTTTATAAATGTGAATATTTGGATGGATGGATGAATATTTGTTTGAAGGTATGCAGGTATCTATGAAGGTTGGCTGACTCTAGGGCAGCTGCACGGATCTCACTGACATTTAGCATAGATGTAGAACATAGTGTGAAAGAACACATAAGCTAATAACATTTTTTTTTTAATTTCGCGCAGATGGAGTTGCTGGTGACAGCTAGTTATTTAATAAATAAAATAATTGTAACACCATAATAAAGCTACAGCCAATAATGGTTTGTAAAGTAATATTAATTCTAATATTGTTTTTGTCAGATAGGCTTTAGAGGGTGCACAATCTGAAGTAGAATTGCTAAAGAAGGAAGTCGCTCGACAGACCAGTCGGGCAGAACAATGTATTGCTTTGAAGACACAGTTGGATAAGCAAACATTTGAGTTGCAACAAGTTAATAGTAAATTGAAGGATTTGGAGTATGAGAGAGATTGTTACAAAGACTGGCAACAACATGCAAAGGTGAGAGGAATTCAGTTATACTGTGGTATTATTTTGACATTTTTTTTTAAAGTCAAATCATAAAGAAATTAGGATTACATTCTTCCTTTTTTAACATTATTGATGTCATGTTTCTATCGAATGTCCCATGAGAACGAACAGCCTACCAACCAATTGCATTTTTTTCTCATTTGGCCTATTGATTCTATGGATCGACCCAACAGGGAACACTCATATATAATGACAAGAAAAAAGTTAACTACTAAAAGAAATAAGAATAAATTATTATTTTTGATGCAAAGCAGTACTATGTAAAAATATTTTTTTAGACTGCACAAAAACGTCTCAGTACAATGGCTGATTTAGAAAAAGAAGTAGTTAGATTGAGAGCTGCTGAACGCACACTACGAGATGCGGTCTGTAATAAGTTACTGCTAGAAGAACAAGTGAATGTGCTCACCGCAAAAGTGGAGGCGCTGCAGCCAGTACAGCAAGAGTTACATGAGGCAAAGGTACAAATCATGTATACATATTATTTATACAATTACATACTTAAATTGATGTGTCTGTATATGATGTTGAAAAAAAAATGATATTTGGTATATATATTTATCTGTCTCCAAATCCGCGTTTGTTCCCGTTAATCTCCATATCGATTGGACCAACTTGGGGTTTAAAATTTGAACTGGGAAGTAGCTTGTGTGTGTAGGAGTAACTAATGTTTTTTTTTGATAATGTGCTGCAGAAATTGACTAAAAGATTTAATTTGCAGTACTTCATTTACTATTCACCATGGAATTATAAGTAAACTCCGTTTGTAAAGGATACCATCCATCCTTGAAACCATATATTTTTCATTGGACTCTCACATTGATTATGTTAAGTGTTTGTCTTTATTGTATGATCAGGTGAAAGTGGCACTGCTAGAGTCGTCTTTAGAGGAGTGGATGAGTGCTGCGAAGGCGCACGGCGTTGAAACTGCTCGCGCGCTCAGCGCTGCGCTCGAGTCAGCGTTCGCGGGCCAGCTCACCGCTGTTGTTAACTGTTCTGAAGCAAAAACACAAATGGCACAACTCACTGAGGTATTGCTATATGCCTTTTTGGAAATATTATTTTTTTCTTAAGTGGCTGTCAATTTCGTTATCCGATATTGATCAAAAAGCCAAATATCAGATGCACATATTCATTTGCAATAAGTAAAAAGGTTATACATTGTTGCCTACTTTAATTGAACTAGAGGTGAAGGAGTATAGAGAAAAGATATTTTCTATCACTTTTAATCTTTGAATTTTGATTATTCATATTTGAATACAGGAAGTGGCAACATTGAAGTTTGAGCGCGACAAGGCGACGACGAAGCTCAACGATATAATGTCAGTGCGCAAGAGCCAGGAGAGTCTCATACACAGGCTGCAGAAGCGATTGCTTCTCGTCACGAGGGAAAGAGATAGTTATAGGTATGTGTTGTTCCAATGATTAAAATGTCAAAGAGTTCCCTTTACTCAATTCCGCGGAAAATATTGTTACTGTTTAGGCCTGATGTGTAATTTATGTTGTGGTTAATGTGTAGACAACAGTTGGATTGCTACGAGAAGGAGCTGACGGTGACGCTGTGCGGGGAGAGCGGCGCTGGGAGCGCGGCGCTGCTCTCCGCTCGTGTGGAACAGCTGGAGAAGTCTCTGCAGGGTTACCGGGACCTGCTCGCAACCCACGACCAGGAGGCGCATGCTAAACGTAAATATTAATACATCAGTAAAAATGTATTATTTTTTAAAATTACTTAATCAAATAATACAATAACTTCCTGATCACGTTGGAAAAGAAAAATAATGAGTAGTGAGTTAGTAGCACATCATTTGCTGTAAGAAATGAAAGAAATTCAACTTACTTACTTTCTCCGCTGCCTCAACGACCCAAAGTGGCTCTTGGCCTCCGACACAAGAGATCTCCAAATTCAATTATTCAATTTACATTAGATAAATTGTAACTATGTTGTTATAGTTGTGGAAAGCTTGCGTGCGGAGGCGAGCAAGTACCGCGAGGAGGCGGAGTCGTCGCGGCGGGAGGCGGGCAAGTTGCGTGCGCAGCGCGACCAGCTGCAGGCCCACCTCGACCGCCTCGTACAGACACCGCAACCAACTACTAAAGTAAACAATGCTGCCACTGTAAAAAAACATAATTATAGTGCTGCCAACATAAATTATTTTTAAAATAATAAATGTAAAAAAATTTCTGTAATTTGTTACGAAATGCTGTTCTTTAGTACTATAGGTTGGATTGTTTCATGTTCCAGATCCTTCATCTTGTTGATAACCCCGCAGCTGCTGCGCATAAGCAGATGCAACTTGATATGGAGTCTGCGCAAGAAGAGGTATTTAACTTATATTTAATATGCGCCATTATTTATGATTTCAGTTTATTTTGCCATTTTTCTCCTTTTTTTTAGCCACAGTAGTTTGCTAAAGTAATATGTCCCCAGATTAAAAGGTTAAAAGCGGCGCTCCGTGAAGGTGGTTCGGACGTGTGTCCCGAAGAAATGCAACAACTGAAGCAACAGCTAGAAAACAGTCGAATAAAACTGAAGAGGTCTTGTTTTGTTGTATCTACGTGCTTTACGCTTTTTATTTTTTCGCTTTTGACGTTACGTGAGGTCTTGACATTTAATTTTAAACCAGTGTTGACATATTTTTATATTTCAGAATGAAGGAGGAGTTCACATCGTCGGCCCAGGAATATAGAGATGTGGTTTATATGCTACTAGGCTACAAAATAGATAGGACAGGACATAAGAATTATAGGTAATTATAATAAATACATATAAATTACTTTTTTTTTACCTCTAAAATAAATTAATAGCTTATGCTGACCTGTAGCGTTTTATATATGTAACAAGCATATAATTGTACTTGTAATTGTAATACTTAATTAGTTTAAACAATGTTTCTTCTAATTTCAGAATATCAAACATGTATGCGGAGTCAGCGGAGGAATATCTTACATTCACACTTTGTGATGATGGTATAGAAATGGTTCATACAGAATACTCGGCTTCACTAAATGAGTTGGTGGAACTACATCTGCATCATCACAGATCTATACCGCTGTTCCTCAGTGCGCTAACTATGGAACTGTTCACACGTACCACCATGCAGCAAGATATACAGTGAATAAAGTGTTAATTAAGTTATATGGTGTTCTAAAGTGTCAAAAATTGTTGCAAAATTAATGGTGGTGTTGTATCTGAAAAACTCAAGTTATATTCATAAGGTACTCTCTTAAACTATTTAGAAGATACGTACATTTTTTTATTACGATATTTGGTATTAAATGTAATAATTAAGGTCATTCTTCCGTACTTTGTATTAAAATAGCTTTTATGGTGCAACAAATTGTGCACAACTATAATAGTTAAATATGTAGAAAAAACTATTAGATAGATAAAATAGTTTTACAAGTCTTTTATTTTAAAGCGAGAATGAATTTGTATCTCAACTTATGGGTTGTGGAAAATTTCTGTTGAATAAATGCAACACTTTAAAATAACTTTCATTAGTTGATGGGTTGCACAAGCAAGGTGTTGACTTATTTTATGCACCTCCTTGTCTATTTGTATGTCCTAATAAAAATATAGTTTGTCATAACCTAAAAATATTTTTTGCATTTACATTTTATAGATATTATACAATATTTTTGTGTAAGACATCACTTTTTGTAAATACCAAAAGTTGTTCCTCCTTTACTTTCGATATGCAATCTTAAAGTAAATTGTAATGTATATTTTGTGTTTATAAATCCAGTGAAGTTATTTCTGTGAGAGCAAATGTATCTTTGTCACTGAAATAATTTCTTAGGTGGCAATTTTGATAATAGCAAAACGTTTTATAGCTCCGTAAACAGGCGTAGGACAGCTAATTAGCTATTATTATTTTTAATTTGAAACTTGTGATTAAAGTTGAATCCTATTCCACTTAATAATAACTTCATTTTAATACCTGGAAAAGATTTAAATGTCTTTTGTTTATTTTTTGTAATCAAGAATCTGTACTCTTTCTATTTTTATACTTTATAGATGTTAAATGAATATGTTATAAAATTTTGTACAACAAAGGATTGTAGAAAAGCTTCCAACAAAAATAGAAAAGGACATAAAATAAAATTGATTGGGCCTTTATACTTATATCGCTGGACGAAATTACTAAATTATTTTCACTTACAATATTGTCCAAGTCTAGTAAGTCTCTAGTTAGACTAAGCTAAACTACACCGTAATATTTTTGTTTCAATAATATATTTGATTAATGTAAAATGTAAATATAGAACTTTAAAAACTTAAGAAGCTATTTTTAAATTTCAACTGTTGAGGTGGTAATTTGACTAATTAAAGAAGAAAACCTGTAAGAGATGTTCACATATCTTTTAAAATGCGCCGAAATAAGAATTAATGTAATTTTCAAATGGTAATGGTAAAGAGTGTAATATAAAAAGACCTATGAATAAATGAATACTGATAAAAATTGTATTTAAATTACATCAACGTCTAACGAAATTACTGACCAACACTTCTGATAAAGCTTATAGAAACGCAGTTTTAACGAGCGCACGCGTAGTATTGTCATCGGATTCAACTAGTAATTAAAATAAATAAAAAATGCAGGATGGTTTGGTCAGTTTAGGTAGGCAAAATGTTAAAGTTAAAATAATTTTTAGCAGGGAAAATCGATATTACCGAGTTATCGCATGGATTTCAAGCTTTAACGAAAAATAATTAGTATTTTAATCTATATTGAATGACATTTGTCATCTGACTGACATTGACATTTCATCCTGACACCTTTTATCGTCTTAAAAAATATTGAAGCGAAATGTTAATAATTTATCATTTTAACACAATAGTTTTTAATTACAAATTGAATTAATATTATTAAAAACAATAAAAAATGGATGCCAAAATACGCGTGAAGAGTAAAAGTTCACTTAAGCTCAGGAATCTGCGACTAAGCTTAAAATATAGGCCCGATGTTTTACAGCTAATTTTGAAAATGCGTCAATGTTTAAGAAAAAAGAATTCTATAATCACTCAATTAAAAAAGCAACTAAAGTTATTGGTATGTATTCAAATCTATAATTTGTTCCGCTATATATTTTGTATGAAAACAGAAAAATAATTTGTGAGCATTATATGTTTATCAATAGTGCATTTATGCCTGTTTTCCTTAAAATTACAGATGAGTAATGAAGTAAAATCATCTTTTGTACAAACTGATGATGCAACTCCTGAGTTTATTCAAGGGAAGTCAGGTAATTATAACTGCATAGTATAGTAATTCCCTACCTATATCAAGTTAAAAATATTAACTTTATCTTTTTCTAGACCACACCACACTTGAAATTGACAATGATAAATTACTGTCCGATGTTAGCACACAGACTAGTAAACTTCAAATTAGTGATGATAATAAGAAAGTTTTGAATTCAGAAGAAAACATTGAATCAAAGGTGTCTGAATGGAAGTTACATGACGAAGAAGCTGATAAGGGAAAAAGTATAGCAGAACAAGTAAAAGAAGTTGCACAATCTGCTTTAAATGAAAGTGGAATGGTCTATGTAGAGGCGGCTGGAATGTACTATGATTACAAGACAGGGTACTATTACAATTCCGTGAGTTACTTGGAATATCAAATAAAATTTTCAATTGTTAACAAGATTTTGACAAAATGTTTTTTTTTTCAGGAGCTTGGCTTGTATTACCACACAGACACTGGCTGTTACTACTATTACTCAGATGAAAAGAAAGATTTCTTATTTCATTCATACCCTGATAGAAGTGCTGAAATTGAAAATGCTCCCTTATTTAAGCATGTATTAAAGAAAGCTAAAAAGCATAAAAAGGTAAATAATTTCACTTAAAACACTATATATTTTACATAAGCAATAATTATATTATTGACATATTTCTTTTATTTCAGGAAATGAGATCAAATATTGATAACCTGACGAAAAAATTCTCTCAGGTTTCACTCCAAGGCCCAGCTGCCTTAGGTAAATAATTTAATCTGAAGTTACCCAATACCAACATATAAAATGTTATATTACAGGACAAAGAAGATGATGAAGTCAGTAAGCCGAAAAGAAAGAAGATTATGAGAAGAAAGAAGAAGGTGGATAGTAATGATGTTGAGAAATCTGAAACAAACGAAAACATAGAGACTGAAAACATGGGTGACGGTTCCACTGAAGAATTACAGAAAGAAGTGATAGATGATGAATTAGAAGATGGTGAATGCAGTGAAACGGATTGCGACGATCATAGTGAAGTTGAAGATGATGTAGAATCAATCATTAGTATTTCAACTGCTACTGATGATGATGGTAAATTGTGATGGTATTTTAGAGTGGTTTTTTATTAATAGTAAAAGTTATTGTAAATTGTAATGATTGATTCCATGAAGAATTAGTTAATTAAGCTATAGTATACTTAATGTGAGAAGTAAGAGAAGTTATGGAAGTAAAAAGAATCTTATTTTTCTTACTAATATTAAAAATTAGAATGTTTGGATGTATGTATGGATGGATCTTTGTTAGAAGATATCTCCGGAATGGCTGAATGAATCTGGATGAAATACAGCATAGATGTAGCAATGTAGAAAAACTACTAATTAAGTTTTTTTTTTAATTTCCAAGCGACATAAAAATTATTATAAATAGTAGGTTGTCGGAAATGAAACCAGAAAAACCAACATTTTTATGTGTTTTATTTTTCTTGTGTTATTCTAAATTACACAGTAATTGTAATATATTTAATTTGTTCGCAGACTCGATAGCGAAGCATCATCCGCCATGCATGCGTTTGATAGTTCGAGAAACTAATGTACAGAAACTGAAAATTGGCAGTCTGTTTGTTATTACAAAAGATGGTGGCTCTATAGGCAGGGAGGGTGAACAACATGCAATTGTAATCAAAGATAATAATGTATCAAGGGTAAGTTCAACTTTATATCTTAAATTTAAAGACAGAATAGCTTATTTCGTTCAGATAGACATTGATTGAAGAATTCAGATTGATCTGGATAAGCGAGAGAAATATCATGGTCCCTTGGTTTCTTTCTTATCTAGGTTCTATCGTATATCTAAACCATTTTAATACTTTTCCCCACATTTTTGATGTTAATTTATATCGGATCGTCTACATTTCTTAATACTTTTTGGAATATATAATCCATCCATAATTCAAAAGGTCAATGCAAAAATTTTACATTAAATTAATTATTCCCACTTAGAGGTGACTTAACACAGATTAATTGTATTATTTATTTGTTTTTTCTAAAAAAATATAGGTATTTACGATGGACAATTAATAACAGAAAAGGTTGCCTTTTACAAGAATTACTTGTTCATTTTTTAACACTCAAGATGATTTGGCGTCAGATTTTTTTGTTTTTTTTTAGTGTATGATTATGAGAGTTAAAGTAATTGATAGCCAGAAATATATTGAACATTTTTATTTTTTAAAAGTTTTTTATTTTTTAAAAAGTTTTTATTTTATTTTCAATTGTGTTTTTTTTTGTCACCAGAATCATTTAGATATAAGATACAATTTGGAGAGAAATCTTTATATGGCAACGGATTTGGGATCCAAAAATGGAACAATATTGAACGGGAATAGAATGTCGGAAAGTCAAGATATTAGCATACCAATGGAGGTAAGAAAAATATTCAATTTTTTTTTAATCTATTATTTTTTTTTAGTTAAAAGAGAATCACTCTATGGGTCTACTAAAGTAATGATACCTAAAAGAAAAAATGTTTTTGAATTTTATATAAATAATTAAACGTTGCCTGCGACTCTGTTCATCCAGAAATAAAAAAAAAACTTATTTCAGATTGAAAGAAAGACAAAAGTTTTTTGTTACACACAAATTATTTATCCTTTAATTTATAATTCTAATTAAATTATAAATGCGAATGTTTGGATGTATGTATGTTTGTTTGAAGGTATCTGCATAACGGCTAAACGGATCTCGATGAAATTTGGCATACACACAGAACATAGTCTGGTAGAAAATATAGACTTCTAATTGTTTTTTTTTAATTCTGCGCGGGCGGAGAAGCGGGTGACAACTACTTACTAATTAATTCTTATTTTATAATTATTTTTTAGGTACTTCACGGCAGTACATTGCAATTGGGAGATACAAAGTTATTATGTCACATACATTCCGGGAACGAGACATGCGGACATTGTGAACCGGGACTTCTCATCGATTGTTAGTATATTTTTTTCATTAATAATACTAGGGGTCGCCCATGACTTTGTCACTTTCACTTTGACACGAGAGATCCTTAAATATTACAGTAAAATGAAACATAAAAAAAAAATGATTTAAAAATTAATCTAAAATGAACCTTACAGCTGAAGACAAAGATCGCAAAGTTGCTTACACGCGTACCTGCAGCGTACAGAAACAGCATCAGCTGGAGCTGGCGCGTCTCAAGAACAAGTACGCTAAGCCGCCGCTGGCCATAGACAACGAGGCGTACAACGACCGTGCGCAGGCGCGGCGTGACACTGTCGGCTCATCTCACTCCGCTGAGAAGACGCAGACCAGTGATATTCATTCGTAAGTTCATTATGACACCACATCAATCACACACAACCCAATGATTTTAACCTATAACCCTACAGGGATAAAATACGATTCATGACACCTAACACCTCTATGTTTCAAGTTCACAATGGAAAGGATATAGATATGGTTAAAAACACTAACCGATATGCATGTACTAGCTTTCGCCCGCGACTCCGTTCGCACGAAATAAAAAGAGCAATTAGTAGCCTATATGTTCTACATCTATGCCGAATTTCAGCGAGATCCATGCAGCCGTTCTGTAGATACCTTATAACAAACATCCAAACATTCGCGTTTATAATATAGAATTTAGATTTTGTTAGAAAAAAAAATTCTCAATTGATTTTTCTGATATTTCATTAATAATATAATAATAAGCTCTTTTAACCAGTAAAGCCGGAATAGATTAAATTAAGTTCTAGTCGAGTTATAGACACTTTAATTTGCAAAGTAAATCGAGTAAGAATCTGTTATATTAAATGTTCTCGCTAATCAAATGTTAAAACAATGCAACCGCATCCGGCGACCAGGAGCGGCGCGTAGACGAAACAATTAGCCATTCTTACGACTAATTAAAACTTTAAAAATTCAAATCTTTGTACTAGTACTTTTATAATTAACAACCAAAAATTCGTTTAATTTTATAAAAATAATGCGGTGGGTTCAAATACCGAGAACATTATTTTAACATTAATAAATCTTGGTTTATTTAATATACCAGCTTGTGTCCGCGACTTCGTCTGCTCATAATTAAAATAATGGGTGAAATGTATCTCATCCCACGGGAACTGTACACATTTTGAAGATCATTGGTAGCCTATGTGCTCTTCCAGACTATGTTCTACATCTGTAACAAATTTCACCCAGACCCGTATCGCCGTCCTATAGATATCTTAGTAACATTCATCCAAACATTCGTATTTATAATATTAGTAAGAGTATGAAGAAGTAAGATTATTAAATATCATTTGCTTAACTTGAGTTTTTAAGACCAAAATCTTCGTTTAAAACAGTGATTCCCAAACTTATTTTGTCTACTGCCCACTTTGAAAATAAATATTTTTTTAGCGCCCCCATATTTTCACATATTTAAAAACCACTATAACTTTAAATTAAATTAATTAATTATTGTGACCTATATATGTATATTAACGGAGAATTCTAAACGAAACTTATACTATAACCTGCAACTTGCGACCTGCAGCGCCCACAAGGGGGCGTTATCGCTCACTTTGGGAAAGACTGGTTTAAAACATATTGTTATCTTTGTTTTATCAAATACAATGACATGGATGACAATTTTATACAGATGTTTTGGTCTCAAAAACCCACAGTTAGAGTATTAGAGAGATCTCAGAGGCTTTTTCTTTTTCTTTTTGGATATTTAAAAGTATTTTAGTTAATTGTTTAACATTTGTTTTTGTCAGGTACATACCGTCAGAGAACAAAGGATTCAAACTGTTGGAGAAGATGGGCTGGTCTAAGGGTGAAGGTCTCGGGAAGGACAACCAAGGTGACAAGGAGCCCGTGAGTATACGTTATCCATACACTTTGTTATAAACGAAAATTGTTTATCATCTAACAAAGCAAAGAACTAAACAATGAATAATATATCCATTTAACTCTTGACGTGACTAATTAGTCCAGACGGGGGAATTTATTTTAACCTCACCGTGAAATTGCTTATTTCTAAAATGACTTGATTTAATTTATAATATTTGTTGGGTTCTGTACATTTTCGGATATATTTTTTTGAAAGTTTTTGCATCGTAAAATCCATAGCAAACACTAGCATAGTTAGCAAATTAGATAGTTAATTTTTATTAACAAATTCAATTGCTATATATTGTTTGAAACAATAAGACTTAAAGCAAGGGCAAGACACATGTTTCATATTTTGGAATAGACCGCTAAAGGCCGGCAACGCATCTGCAGTTCCTCTGGTATTGCTGATGTCCATGGGCGTAGTTGAACACCTCGGTGTTCCAACTGCTCGTTTGCCCTCTTCTGTTATATAAAAAAAAGTTCAGATCTTCATATTTTAATCAAAATGCAATTTTTATAAATAACAGCAGGACCGTATAAATTGTTAATTAATAAATCGATCGAATATGTGTCGTATATAATCCTGAATGTTTTGGGTCGGGCAACACTTTTATTGCGTCGTAATTTCGTACGTTACCCTAAATTTTATGTTATTTTTTACCATTTTCGGTGATGAGTGCCTGTCTGTAGGTCAGGCGGGCGTGGGCCTACCTGCCCATTTAAAACAATTTGCGTATACTTGTTTTATTTCGCGTCGCGTCTCGCATTAGAGCGAACCGAATTACGATGGGCCATTAAATCGTGTAGACGATGACGTTTAGGGCACGACCACATTGAGCACTGCCCGCTCTTGTAATTACAAAGTTGCTATCTGCATATGAATAAAAATTTACACTTTCTAATTAACTCCTGGTGCAATAACGTGCATGGAGGAAGGTTACAACATCTCATATGATATAAGGTAAGGTTAGGCATATAAAGGGTTTGCTGAGGTTCTCTGGTAAGCTGGGTTGACTGGAATGATCCATGACCTGACCTCACGAAAAATACGACCTACAAGTGGAGTTGCCTTAGCCTTAAGAAAGGTCGTGTTTTTTTACGTAAATTTAGTCAAAGATAAGTTTTCACTAACGTAATACTAGTCCGGACTCAAATTAAAACAATTCTTTGTTCAGAATTGCTTATAAACCTTTTAACTAAGTTAAAAAAAAAATGCAACCTACAGCTGAACTCTTTATATTTGTAACTTTGCGATAATGATCTAGTGCTATTATTGTTTGCCATTTTTAGGACTGTTTGCGATAAAAAAATTCTCGCAACCTTTATTCGAAAGGTTAAAGTAAACGCGACATGTGCTAGGCGCGAAAAATAGTTAATTTTTTTGCCTATTTGTCCGTGCAACGGGCACCAATACAATGTGTAGTGTGGCGCCACCCGATGTCCGTCACTCGGTAATTGATGTCGGCTCATAGAACCGTGCCGCCACTTCGCTTTAATTGTTCACGCATCAATTACTTCTTGTGAAGAACTCATCATCGTGTATGTAAAAAGGTTTTAAACTGAAACATCACAGTGAACAGAAATAGAAAGTTCAAGATTCAGAAGATTTGATTCTTCTAACTATACTGTAGTACTCTCCTATACTTATCCATAAAGGCATTCCTAAATGGATTTATATCGTCCAGATTGGAATACTCAAAAAGGGCGCATATATGTATATTATGAATGTAGAAGAGCGAGAATAGTCTGTCAGAACTGCACCGAATAGAGGTCCGTGGTTTCTGCCTACCACTCTGGGTTACTGTGAGTAATATTGTTTTTATACTAAGTTTAAGAGAATACGATATTTTTGTCTTTCAACTGTACTTGGTCGTCAATTTTATCATAAGAAGGTACTTAATAAATCTGTATGTATCCGGGAATCAACTTCAGCATTATGAAGGAGATAATATCGTAATGTTCTCTGAGGGCCACTTTGAGCTCAGTAGCCGTGCTAATCGTCTCGTCCAATCAACTGCAGATGTTTTTATAACCAAATAGGCATATCATACGTACCTACGTTGGTTTCTAGTTAAAATTATACGCGGTTGGAATAATATTTTATATGTAAAAGATGAATATTTTTATATGCTTTTCATATAATTTACTATTTAGCGTATGTCATAAATAAAAATAACCACAATATTGCTAAATATTTAATATAGTGCGTATCGTTGAAAGTTAACTTTTTATATGTCACTAATTTAACTTCGATTGTTTTAATCACAAATGTTTTTTATTAATTTTTTTTTGTTCATAAAGACGACGGAAAATAAGAAGGATGGAAAAGAGTGGTTAGTTTTGGAATATTATATAATAAAGTAAAAAGGGAAAATGAAAATATAAAGTAGAATAATGAAATGAAATTAGCATAAATAAAAAGGTTCCGTATCTGTCGGTAACAGTTCCAATATCTATATAAACTATTAGAGATTAATATCAAATGATATACAAACAAACTAACAATATAAAACTAGTATACACATAGTGTAGAGCTAAACCGCAACATTAATTTAAGGCCGGCTCGTAGTGTCGGCTTACCGCACAGTTGTCCCGAATGAAATTTCAATCAAGTCAAAGTAACAATACTATTTATTTATGAAGCTAATGAACATTAAACCCCACTAAACCGCACAATATGATATTAATGCAAACCGCAACTACATTGACCTAGTCGCTTATAAATAGGTTGCAAAATTAATTTCACTATACTGTAGAAACTTGATTATCAGGAGTTCAGTTATTCGGATTACGCCGATTATTTTTAAGAATAACGACAATTATTTTAAGAAACAATATTTCTTCAATTGTGGATATTCCCTTTCGTAAAGGAAGAATTTTAATTTTTTTTTAATATTTATTAGTAAGTAAAATTGCTAATCTTACTATTATATTATAAATAGCTAATGTTTGGATGGATGGATGTTTGTTAGAAGGTATCTTTAAAATAGCTTATCAGATCTCTTGATGTTTGACATAGATGTAGAGCATAGTCTGGGAGAACACATAGAATACTAATTAAGTTTTTTTCAGATAACTTAAAATTTGTCAATATTCTTAATAAAATTTCAATATTTTATGTCTTTTGAGAATGTGTCGGTCATGCAGTTTGGAGACGTGTTTACACAATGTGCCCGTTGCGTCTCTATCTTGACCAAGTGACGACTCTTGCGCATCGCAAACATGGCCGAGTGTCATGTCAACATCTTTACAAACCTCGCCTCTTCACGCAAGCTGGAATATTTCAAAATATATCTAAAACCTTTATTGGCCAGCTCTATGGTAATAAGTGGGTTCGTATACTTTGACGCTAAGTAACTTTAGACCACGACGGGCCGAGGATCTGAATAAAGTTTCTGGAAATCAAATTAACAAATTAAAAGCAGTTTAATGCCAACATAAGGTTCCAAACTCATTATATTAGGTAGATGTAATTCTTGTTTAACCCTTATGTTCAGTTTGTATAGTATACCATACATAATACTTTATAAAAATATACGATCACTATAAAATAATTTTTAACTTAGTTTTTTTTTAAATTTGTTTTTTGCTTTTCTTCAAAAAATAAATCTTGCCACAATAAGGGTTAAGTTTCCATTTGCTATTTGAGTATTAGAGAGTAGGGTGGATTGTAGGAAAGAGGATATGCGTAAGAAGGCGGTTTATTAAGATATGACGGCTGATAGAGATGTATGGAGGTAGGGCAGATTGATGATGATTAGGTATTAGAGTAAAACTCTTAATCTGTTTTAACCACAGTTTAAATTTACATTTGTAGCAGTATCGTGAAGCATTAAAATTAGTCTGCACGGATTAAATTTAAAAGTAGCGAGATGAAAGCATTTCGCAAATCTATCTTACGTCTGGGTATATCACTGCGAGTTAAATTATAATTCTGCCAAAAAGCCCAGCGCAGACTGCATAAGTGTAATTGCATACCTTCGCTTCTGGCGATTAAAATGAATTTAATGGAACAAAAATTGCTGGTTGTCAACTCTACCATGTTGTAGTATTTTTTAATGTATCACTTGATGATATTTTAATTATTTATGCATAATTTTTAGAAATCATTTAACGATTTGCCATGGCTTATTTGAAAATCATTATTGAATGATACTATTCTCTTTGTAGTATAATAAACCGATCTATCTTATACTTTAAATGAGCAATTCTCGTATATATATAATTGGAATCTCTGAATCGGCTTCAACGATTTTCATAAATTTTAGTATATAGGGGGTATCTTGGGCGATAAATCGGTCTAGCTAGGAATCATTTTTAGAAAATGTCATTTTATTCGTGTTTTATCAACTTAAACGTAAACTTAACTTTTTCTATCGGTAAGATCGAAAAATATTATTCATATTTCATCATTTTATTAGTAATTCGTACTTAAATATAATTTCCAAAAAACACAATTAAAAAAAAATACCGAGTAAAGCTCGGTCATCCAGATTTTAAAAGATTTATAAGACAAAAAGGGTTGCCTATCTTTTCTTACTTCTTACTAATAGTAATGGATTAATGTTTGTTAGAAAGTATCTCAGGAACGGATCTAACGTATCTTATTAAAAGCCACAGAAGTAAAACATGTCTGGAAGAACATATAGACTGCTTATTAACCCTTATTAGCCTAGGGTTTCAATTTTGATACCAATCTTTTAAACCGAATATTCACATTACTATTAGTTTTTTTATAGGTTGGCTGTACCTATTTTACTGTTGTATAATATTCTTTCCAACGAAATTAAAAAAAAAACAAATTTAATTATTGTTTTGTTTTATCAAGCAAACACAGTAATATTAAAAATAAATCACTTTCGTATGTAAATCAGGCTACTAAGGGTTAAGTTTTTTTTTAATTTCGTGCGGATCATGTCGCGGGCGATAGTTTCTGTTTTATAAACAAAGGAGATGATTAACTAAGTAAACGTAAATGAAAT